CACACACACACACACACACACACACTGTAATAAAATGCAAGTTTATATGTTTTTGCAAAATTTCCCCCCTTCCTTTTACACTGACTTTTTCTTAATTTTTTGTCTGTGGCCATGAATAATTCACTGATATAATACAAGATTTAGGCTTTCTTTTGCAGTTGCTTAAATTAATCATTATTTAAAATAAATAAAGACAATGCATTTTGCACTAAAAAGACATACTTTTAGCCACTGTAAATTCCAAACTGTATCGCCATAAAAAAATGTTTTTTTAAAAATCCGATTTAAAAATAAAAAAAATATCTGATTTCAATTTAAAAAGTCAATTTGTTACATTTTTATTTTTAAAATTTTAAAAGTCACCAACCATGATGGCGGGCACGCGCATCAGGTTGTTTTTCTCTGTTCCCCTGTATCAATGCAATGGGGGTTTTCCGAGGCGAGCTTATCTCGCCTCGGGGTGTTTGCGTCTCAACGTGAAAAAAAGAGTTTTTAATTGTACGGCATGCTAGATTGAATTAACTTATATTTTAAGGTTGCATGGTAGGGTCTAAAGTCATCAAAGAAAGCTTTTCCATTATTTAGTCACTCTGCCGACATATTCTTAAGGATCCCATGTTGTGATACAATGCTATAAATAAAATGCATTTATCCCGACACCCCTTTTGCACAAAATCGTAATATGCACACCAAAATTTTAAGTATAACAAAATAACTACAAAATGGTTAGTAAATCTGACTGCAGAATCTAAATGATTTCTGCACCCAAAAATACATTGGGTAGCCAAATTTCTTTTTAACATTCCAATTAATTACTGAGATATCGTCGATTTTCTTACAGAATCTGCTATTGCGTGGTCCACTTTTAAGAGTGTTTGCCTATTTGTGGGTCATCCATATTTTGCCGACCGTTACAACAACTTTTTTCTTTATGAACTGATTCTTAAAATTCAAGAAGCATAATTGTTAGAATTGAAAATTCTGTCTTAGGTACCAAATAAAAAGGGGCTAAAGCGAAAAATAAAATATTCATTGGCATTGCTACAAAATGTCTGACTAACATGCGACCTCCATTTCGCTCTTTTCATTGCCGTTTCAAACTAATGTTAGATTTTTTATTTTTTCTTGTCACATAAAAGAAAATCTGGCATAATATACCATGTAAAACAAGAAAAATCAGACCTGCAAACATCAGGAAATGTTGTAAGTCTAAATCCCTTTATGCAAACTGTCTAACAAAATAGAAAAGTCAACACTTGTTCTTTATTCTCGTGTTTATTGGGCTCAGAAACAAGCGAAACATCACAAATTGAGCACCAGACAGTACAACAGGAGAATTTTATTTAAAAAATAAGCCCTGTGTTGTTTCCCACATCTTTACCATGAAATCTTCCATAATTCAATTCTATCTAATGTGCTGTACAATCAACAAGGTTTCTTTTTTCCATTGAGATGCAAACACCCCCATTACAATGTTACAGGAGAACAGAGAGAAAAACAACTGGATGCATGTGCTCACCATCGCTCTTTTTCGAGTGACCAATGAACACGCTTGGAATAATCATGCAAAGATTTGCAGGTCACATAATTTGCAGGGGGAGTGCGGGGAAAATGACCAGTCTCCGCGCGAAGCCGCTTTGTGCAGGGGAATAGTCAAGTAGTGGTACAATTATGATAAATTCCTAACGTTGAAAATCAAACTCCCTATAGTTTTCATAATACCCAATATGAAAGTATTTCTGAACATTAGTTTGCCCTATTTTCTAATTGGTTGCCAAGTTTTCATTCATATTGGTCCCGAAATAGAGCCGAACGATTTTAAGAAAGTTAGTCACGTGCGTTCTCATATGATCCAAAAATACACTCTCAAATGGGGACTAAAATTTGGCATTGCTACACAATGTTCTTGAACATATCAAAATTATGGATAGCACTGTGATCAGAAGAGAAGTGGTTGTCTGGAAACAATTTGTCCAGATATGTCTACTTCATATGAAAAACATTGTCTTGCAGTCACCAACAAGTTTTTGCAAGAAAACCAGAGCTGCTTTGCTGCAACGCCCATAGAATTTACGAGCCTGAACCTTGTAGAATTTACGGGACTGACAGTGGTTGTTTTAATACCAATTATAATGTTTACCTTTATGTTTACCTCCATTTTCCTCCCATTTGAAAGCGTCAGATTAAGATTTTAGCTCGAAGACAAGATACGGTCTAGATCTAGATGGAACACTTGCAGGTAAACACAGATGGGCTTACATACATGTATATATGGATTGTATGAGCGTTGTATAAGGTAGGAAAAGTCTCTTGTCACTTTTTCTTTACCTGCAAACGCTCACACAACATGTATTCCTCTTTTTTTGGTCTCAGTTTATCATTACTCGAATGTGTGTTGTTTATGTTTGGTGGTGTTTTTGGCATCATGTTTCTATATCCAACTTTCCCCCATCTATCTCTCAATGAAATTCCCCTCAATTTATATCAATAGAAATGTTGAATGAAGATGTACGTGCAGAAATTCATTAGGAAATATTCATAAATAAAAAAGTTAAGGGAGGTAGAGTGGGGTCACCACTGAGCAGCCTTGGTTCATGGGATTTCCCCCAGCACAGGGGCCTATTTAGCTGCGGCTTTGAAAGGGTTAAAATGGTACAATAGTGAGTAGCAAAACAGTTTCATTCCAGCTGGTTGATAAATTCAGGCTGAAATCTTGTAAGTCAACTTGTAACCAAGACTGATCAAAGTTATATGAAAAAGAAGTGGCTGGTGTTTGCAAGTAACCGTGAGCCCTGGACTGCAGAGTATTGGGACAAAGTGATGTTTTGAGATAATCTGACCTTGCAGCAGTTTGTAGTTCGGCATTATTATTTCAGGAGTCCACCAGGGAAAAGGTACGATGCAAAGTATACTTTGCAGATGATGAAATATCCACTACGCCTGATGACCTGGGGCTCAGTTTCATAGTCTGGAACTGCAGGATTATATTTTTTTGGTTCCCGAAACAACTCTGAATGAAACTGCTGCAGGACAAATTGGAAATATAAATGCATATTCACGGAGGCAAATTTCCGTACATGATGTTGCCTCATGCCACAGAGCAAAGACTACTAGAATGCCTTTAAAGAGTCACGGTCATTACCTTATAGTGGCCTGAAAATAGCTGTGACATCAGTTCTGCCGAAAATCTCTAAGAATTCATGAAAAACATGGTCCCAAACATACAGCTGTTCAGAGCAAAAGCAATGAAGTGTGCAATCAAGGAAGTGTGGACACGTGCTATTCCACCAGAATAATATTGTGAACTTATCATATCAAGCATGTTAGCGCACCAAGTACTAATTTGATAAAAACTACTCCACAACAGCTAAACATATTTGAAGCATTTAAACAAGTCTTTTTTTAATATAAAACTAAGCGATATTTATTTATTTTATTCCTAAAATGTAAAAAGTTAAAGTTTGAGAAGCAAGGGCGTCAGAATATGCTGGTCAGTGTGCATGGATGCGGGACTAGTCTGATGGGGCCTTGGTTTACCTCTTCCATACAATGTAGACATACTCTCTTGTGTTCTCTTAAACGGGTACACAGCCATCTTTTTTCCTATTCATTTAACAACGGATATTTTAGAAGATATATAAGAACTTGAGTAGTTGCTTATGCTTAGTATTGGGAAATATACTATGACATTATTGTTTAAACATCCAGATATGGGGGTAGCCGCGAATACCTAATAAGTAGCCGCAGATCAACAGGCGATGACTACAGAGGGCGAGGTTGGATAGTTTTGGTGGTTCCGTTTCTCTTATAATTAAATGCCTCAGCATGTCCATGGAAGTGGTCATCGGTCGAATTGAGGAGCCCATAAATAACCTTTTACCCTCAGCTATGAGTCAAATAGTGAGGATGTCTGGTTACTCAGTGTGTATGAGAGATTTATTTCTCCAACAGCAAAGGGAGGAAGTTTTTTCCAAAATGGCCACCAGAAACTCGTGCGTTGTCTTCTATAGCAGCTATGGGAACATATGAGAATTTTCCTGTGGAGGTTGGCGACGGGCCAACAACCAGTCTCATGAAAACAAACAATACTGAGACAGGAAACAGAAGATGTAACCTCCCCTCCAAAAAATACATTTATTTAAACAGCCCGTGAATGAACATTTTGTCTCTATACAAAGGCTTCAAAACTGAATGGATTAAAGTTTTCAGTTCAAAGAAAACAAAATTAAATAGAGTGAGAGACTGACACAAGAGATGATATCCTGCAGTGAAGCGGCAGTATTTGTTTTTATGTGCTGTGTAGGCCTAGTGCACAAGTTGTTGTAATGAGTCTTCAACGAGATGAATGCTGAGACTGAATGAGAGCCTTTCTTTTTCTGCAATTTTTATTGTCGTAGATAAATGAATAGTCACATAGATATGGGATAAAGTCTTCCTGCTGAGATCAGTCCTGAAGTTGAAATCTTTTTATTTGTACAATGAACTGAGGTTGTCAGTGGAGTTTCAAGGTTAATAGAAGTCTACAAAAACATTTCCATTTGGGTTGGATTAAGATCAAGGAAAAGAAAATTTATAATTCTTTATTGTCCCTGTGATAAGTAGTCTCATGAAAATTTCAAATTGAGCTTAAAGTAAATAGTTTGCAATCATTTGGATACAGCTTAGCTCATGCAATATCATAATGGCTGTAACCGGCCCCTTCTATTGTCTCAACTTAGTATTATTATATATGCATAAACCAAATGTTTTCAAACGTAATCATGCTTCTTATGCAGTTAAGTGTAACTACCAAGAGGCTGACCCCTCTCAGGCAGACCTGTTGAAACTCAGTTTGGATGCTCAAGGGGCTGAAATGTAGCTATACAGGATTATTGGCCTCGAAGGTATCTTCAAAATAATCTTGCTGTGTTGGGTCCACACGCAAAATCATAATTAAAAAACATCTTATTCAAGCCCCCCCCCTCCCCCCCTTTTCCCCCTCACTCATTCTCTCTCTCTGTGGCTGTCTCTTTCTTTGAATAGGAGTGGAAGTGTAACAACTGGGTATAGGCCTGGTGCTGGCCGCAGACAGCCCCACCATTCCCCCCAACATTTGTGTCCAGAAGCTGTCCCTGGTCATGGAGGTTACCTCGAGTACCACGACCTCTGACCCTGAAGAGGCCAGCGACTCCCTGACCCAGGAGACAGCAGCGGCATCCTCCCCGACCTCACAGGCAGCTCTGGCAGTGGTCACAACATCCAGTGAAGGTACACCACGACAACTTTGGGACAGTTTTGTTTTTTTCATCAGGGTTTTTTTTTTAATGTATGTTAATATTGATTCATTAATTGATATTGGAAAATGTTTTATTTTTACCTTACGAGTAAAGGAGGGGAAATTTGAGTCATGGTGAGAATTGTGTACATTTTATCCTCATATGAGTCTTTAGTTGTGGCTTTGGGACTATTGGAGGTTTTCTTTTTATTATAGAGCAGCTCTAATAGCTTTTTAGCATTGTCAATTGCTTAGTGGTTAGGCTACCGGACTGGTAATCGTGAGATTGCGGATTCGGGGGTTAGAATGTGAGCTTAGTCCGACATTGTGTCCTTGGGAAAGGCACTTCACAAGAATTTGCTATTTGGTTCGGTCCTTTCAGAGATGGACATTAAACTCGGAGGTCCCACCTCTTAAATGACCTAGTAGTGTTGATAGGTGCATTAAACCTATATATATATATATATATATATACCATTTCACCATTAGCTTATTAGTAATTATGCTGTGTGAACTTCCTGTCATGTTTGAGCTGCGATATGACGACAGGTTTGGCCAGATGCTTATTTTGCCTTGATTTGTTCCTTGGCAGTAAAGGCACAGCACAGGGAGCGCAGTGTCAGTGACTAGCCAGTTTTACCCTATGCTACTTCACGGAAAGTAATGTTAAAGACTTATTTATGTTTGATAAAATTGAGGGTGGAGTGGTCATATTTTCCTTCATAGAGGGGATTAAACTACCATTTTGGCACATTTGCATCATTTCAATTTTGTCAGATAATTGAATGCTATTCAGATGCAATGGTTTCTGCCCAAGATCCCTGTGTTTGGGAGTAAAGAAAATGTGGGATCTAAGGTGTGCAGGATTTTAGCCTATTCATTCACGGGGATGAATTGTGGTGATACCCACAATCAGTGAAATGATCTTCTGTTACAGGCTGACCTGATCTACGGGTGGGATTATGACTTGTGGCGAGCACAGAGTGGTTATCCTTGATGACCAATCACAATGGCCTTAGGCATGCCATTTTACGTATCCAGTTATGAGTTTCAAAGTCTATTACTCTCGGCTATTTTGGTGTTTTTTTTACATTAAATGATCATTATTATGTTTGTGTGTTTCTGTTTACTCAAACACTTTCTCTAAAGGAATGTTTGTGTCCTTGTTTTGTAATTATAGAACAAAATGTGATAGTTTTTGTTTTGACACTTTTCTTAAAGGTTCGGACGGCCTCAACAATACTTTGTGCACTGATGTGAGCTCAGGCCCTGTTGATGCTGGTAAGTTGTGCTATTTGTTTCCCATCTAATGTGTAGATTCCTTCCAAGGGCACCAGGGCCTGGGATGGGGGGGGTTAGAAAGTGCCACTCAACACTGTTATGTTATGTTATGTTCTTTTTTGGGGTTTTTTTTTTCTACTTTGTTTCTTGAAAGGAAAGATCAGTTATCCGGAGAATGTGCTCCCCTGTTCTCAAATAAACTAGCAATAAATCGCCACATCAGAACTATTTAGTCTAAAATGTACTTTGGTAAAGAGGCACTTTAGACAAAATAGTTCTGTGGCAAAGAAATTTAGGAGATGTACTACCTTGTGTTAGTTTTTGTGACGAGTTCTGTTTTTGTATTCATAGTCTGACTACTGATTTGGGTTGTTTTTTTAAGGAGGTGGGGGAGGGTTCTTTCTTTTCGTTTTGGAATTTGGAGTACTGTATGAAGGTTTACTTTTATTATTTAGAGATATTTAGACAATGATGAACATTCCTATTTATTTTTTATCTTTTTGTCTTTGTCAATTTCACCATGGTCATAATTTATATTTTTGGGGGGTTGTTTCTTTTCTCTCTACCTTACCTTTACCCTAAAGTCTTTTTGGTTTTCTATAAAATTCATTTATTGTGTCACTTTTCAGTTGTATTAGGTCAGATTGTTCTTCTTACTGAAAATTAAAAACCGCCTGTCGTGGGGTTTCCTTTTTGTAAATGGGTATAACAATGTCATGCTGATGGTGAAAGGCACACACGGGCTGTTTCAGGAAACTCCTTTCACAGAAGAGATTATAAACTGTTTAATTGTACTGGCAAAATCAAAGACCATTTCAAGTCAAATTTCATATTAATGTCTATTTGAATTTTTACACCATGTTTTGAGGCGATGTCTTTGATCGTAATTAACAACATGGCTAAGAGTCAGGTGTTAGAAAATTGGAGAAGGTCCATTTTTGCCTACCATTGATGTAGCAATGCCCACCGAGTAGGGCTGGATCCTGCTCGCCAAATCAGAGAGTGGCGATTCGCGATTCAGTCGGCTTCAAAGAATCGCGAGTACGCGAGCGCTCGTGGAACTGTGGCGGAACACTGACTGAAACGGAACAGTGTCATATCAACCCCACTTGGCGAGCGCGAGTCCTACTCTTGTTGTTCTGCCATCTTCTCCGCCCCACACCCTTTGTGGCGCTGCTCTATCAACTGACCTCAATTAGTGACCCCCATAAATGCACCTCCCCCCAACCCCATGTTTCGCTAAAACAATGACTCCATAAAATTCCTTCTGTCTATTGGTTGGACCCCTTTCATTTTGTTTTAATAGGGGGGTTGGACTATACCATCTTTCGTAAAATAAGGGGAGCCATACTAAGTGTTCCGTTCCGTTCTTGTACTCGTGACTCGACTCTGCAGTAGGTTAAACAAGCCACAAGGTGGTGACAGCAACTTGGGAGTGAATCGGGAATCGTTTGGCGATACTGTTCCGCGTTCCGCTGAAGTGAATCGTAATACGCGTTCCGCAGGCAAGAGTGACGATTCAGTTCCGTTCTCGCGCTCGCGACTCAAGTCTACCACCAAGCGCGTTTTGTTCTGCCAATTTGTGGCCCCCGCCGCGGGGGTGTTTCGTGTGACGCACTAACGCAAAGGTTGTTGTCTTCAACTCGTTCTCACGCCACTTCTCGTGAATGGATATGAATGAAACTGGGCAGCCAATCAGAAAAGAGGTCAATCTCGTAGTATGCAGTTTGACAACATTGTACCCATCCAAGAAGTAGTCGAAAACGTTTGCGAAAGTGGTTGATGTGGTGCGCTTTGAAGATTTTTCGGAGCTGTGATTTGTCAAACTGACTGATACGTTGTACACCATTTTTCTTTATTCCCTTAAAATTCCGTTCTTCTGTGTTTAGCGGTTTTCGCGTAATCTTTTAAAATGTGGGAGTAACTAAGGGAAAAAACGACATTGCTGTTTGCGCGTGCTGGGTGAACGACCGGCGGCTGGGAAATTTCCACTGAGTGACGTCATCAGCCACCGGTCGCCTCGGACGCTACAAATGAGGCCCCGCTTATGTGAACCGGAAAGGGGGAGAAGGATACTAGAAAACTAAACGGGGGCCTTGATAACTTGCGTTTTTGTTGCATTTTAGTCTCAATACAATAGATGTAGTCATTTTTATTTGCTTGATTGCATGACAGAAGAATAGAAACAGAAAAGCAAACATTTTGAGAAGTGGTATGGCATTGTGTTTGCGTTATGATAGCCTATTCCCCCCTCTTGGGAAAGCACACACTTGGACTCGTCCTGTGTGCTCTGTTTGGAAAAGTTAGCATAAAGATTGTTATTAAAGAGTATGGTACTTATTTAGTCCAGTCTGGGAAGATAGTCCCGTTTATACATTGTTAACGTTCACGCGTGCGTGCATGAGTGCGCGCGCGTGCGTTTGTGTGTGTGTGAGAGAGAGAGAGAGAGAGAGAGAGAGAGAGAGAAGAGGGGGGGGGGGTGTAAATATGTTACATTTATTGTATGAGTTGTAATGTTCCCATGAATTGTAAACTATATTATCTGAACGCATCTTAATCTACCACACATTAGGACACTGTCCAACAATGGATATACACGGAGACGATCTTATTTTCTATTACAAAGTATGCATGCTTTTACTAGTAGAGAACTGGATTTATTAGACGAATAAATCCAGCTCTCTACTTACATTTTTGTGACAAATTGATCCAGAGCATTTCTTGGCAAGGAGGAACCTTTTTTATATGTTTCCAAGTTTCATTCAAATATCATGACTTTGGGAGAGCATATATATATATGACTGAGAATCTTTGTAAATCTGTAAAGAACGCCAATTTTTTACCTGTTAATGTCTTTACAACTCAAAAAGTATGATAGATATTAAAAATCTGACAGCATGACTAGATTCTGCATTAAAAAATGTACGAGACTGCCAAGTTTCATTTACATTTTCCAAGAAATAGGCGAGCTATGACAAATATTGTCTCAAAACGCACCAAAAACCGCCACATTTTTACCTATAAACGTCTTCATAACTCAAAATATAGGATAGCTATGACAAATCTGAAAGCTGGACTAGATTCTGCTCTAGAAAATGTACTGGGTTGCCAAGTTTCTTTTAAATACTCCGAGAAATGAGCGAGTTATGACGAATATTGTCTTAAAACTCATCAAAGAACGTCCCATATTTTGGGTTTTTTTCAAAATTAATTGATTTTAAAATTCGTAACTTTTTTGTTTATTGATAGATTTCAAAAATTCAAAAAGTTCCATGCTCTGTGAAGATACAGCTACAAAAATGCACTATTTCGTGGTCGTTGCTAATTGATGTACTTTGTTTTACCTTGAGCAGACGTTTAATTATTCCCTGCCTGAAAGTTTTAAAAATGATTTAGTTATAGCTGCCGTAAGCATTCATTTTTTTCCTGGTTCTGTTTCAGTTCGCTATGGTCCCTGTCTGCCTCCCAGTTTCTATCCATCAGAGAATTTTCACTACTCTAAGGATGTGAAAGGTTAGTACTGCATCAGCCTGTAAGATTTTCTTGCTTTGTTCACAGTGTTTGGTTTCTTTAATGACAATGATTTGTGGGGAAAAGTAAAGCATAGCATCCCAATTTGAACCGCCTGACATAGTGCACAGCCTCTGGGTTGGTAGTTATATTCTCTATTGCTGCAATGTAGCAAGACGTTGAGGTTATACACCTGATGCAGCAAACAGCATTGTACTGAATGTCATACTCTGTTGTTAGTGTCGGACTAAATAGACAATAGACCAGGTCTGTAGTGGAATGATCATCTTTACAAGATACTGCTTCCTCCCTAGCGTGATGTGGATTCAGCTTTGTGTGGGGAGGGGGGGGGGGGTCATTTTTCTGTCATGTCTGAGATATTTCTTGAATCTTCTGACTTTTGAAGAGGTGGAAACACATACTTTTTTACAAATATTGAGCTGGGGTGGGTTTTTTCTCCTCAAATTTTAGATTCCAAGGCAGTTCACGGCTCCTGCGGCCTGCACAACCTGGGCAACACATGCTTCATGAACTCAGGCCTGCAGAGTCTGTTCAGCTGTGCTCCTCTGGTCAAGTTCTTCTGTGAGAGCTACACTCTGACCGAGATAAACCGCCACTCGCTGACCGCCCAGTTCTATATCCTCCTTTGTAAGGTCTGGAGTGGTCAGTTCTCTGTGGTGCACCCGCGGGCCTTCAAGGATTTCCTGGGCTTTTATCACTCGCAATTTGAGGACTATCGTCAGGTAAATGGTTTTCCCTCATTCTCAATTTGACTATCGTCAGGTTCAAAATATAGATTGTAAGAGTTACATCCCATGTATTTCTTTGCACATGGTATTTTTTATTTCTCTGAGGTCCATCTGAGGGCCTTCAAAGATTTCCGGAGTTTGTTTGTCATTTGCAGTTGTCAACTATTATCAGTTAAAAAATTTTGAGTTACTCGGATCGATGGGCATGGGTTTTTTTTTGTCACATGCTGCTTTGCTTGCAAGTATTGGAGGGCCCCACTGGTGGGTTCTACTTCTGTTCTTTCTGTCTGCCTCTATAGCATTTTTCCAGGGCAAAGAGCAAGGTTTCCTATCATTATGAATTTGGCAGAATCGTTACAATATTTTAAATTTATGAAAATACAATCGTAATGCCCCTGGTTCCAATTTTTAGAAATATAGTTGTTGTTTGGCTACCCTTATCTAGTGATCCTTTCTTTGTGTATTAGGGGAGAAAATCTACCAAATTTGGACAGTCTATGTCACGACATAATCGGCATCTAACTTTGGCACCCTCTTTGCATTGAGGAGTTTTACCTTTTCTTGCTCTTCCCCTGCAGAAAATGACTGTTTTTGCCTCATGTGCTTCTCTTTTCTCGCACTAAACTAAACTCACATTGTTGTTTCTTATATTCCACACATGTGTTCTTTGTGAGTTATAACCATTATTGTGTATACTGTGTGTAAGCAACAACTCACCTTTTGTGGGTGGTTGGCGGATGCGCTGGTGTGGTTTGCTCCTTCTTTCCTATCAAACATCTATCGTCCTTATCTCTCCTCCTGTCTTTTTTTATGTATGTTACTCTCTTGTAACACATCTTTTCTTTGGCACTTATATGACCTTATTGTGTTGGAAGTGCCGTAAAACGCTTACTAAAACTAAACAACTCACCTTTTATTTTTTTGTTTGTTTATCCCCAGCATGATTGCCAGGAGTTTTTGGCTCTTGTCTTGGACACCCTCCATGAACAGCTCAACACATCCGCGGCAGCCCTAGCTTTTGCCTCCTCCGCATCCGCAGCTCCTCTTCCTCCTCCATTCTGCATCATGCAGCATCCCTCTGACCGCCCGCAGGTGGTGTCTAATGCTATTGCTCTACCTTGGCATGACGCCGCACCCATTTCCAGCTCAGCCCCATCCTCTAGTCTACATTTAGCTGATGAGCAGGTGGTAGGTACGGACAGTTTGTCTGATGGTGTTGACGGAGAGAGTCATCATCATCATCATCATCATCGCGGCACTGAGTTAAAAGATTCACCTGCTTCGTCTTCGACTGATCGAGAAGACATAGGGGTCATCAGGAAAAGAGATGCGGACTCTGAGCTTTCAGCATCTCCCCCACCTCTGTCAATGTCTCACTGTGTTCCCAGGGAGTTGACGGCCGACCAGAGTCCTCCACATCAAGCGGCCAGCAGCCCCACCAGCGAGATGTCTCTCTTGGAGGAGGCGATGATACCCGCCAGCCCTTCCAGCCATGGAGGGGAGCCAGCAGCAAGCGGAAAGTCTCCGGAGCTTTGCTGCGAGGATGAGGAGATCACATCCAGTTCTTTCCCGCCTCTGAAGCGCTACACGAGCCGGTCCAATATAGATGATGTTACGTCTTCGGACTCTGGTAGTGGTGTGTCGACCAAGCCTTGTCTGAAGCGTGTGTCCAGCGGGAGTTCGGTGACTGCCTCAGGGCTTCTCTTCACATCTGAGGACAGTAATCATTCCTCTGTCTCAGCGCACAGCACAGATTCTGAGCAGAGCAGCGCATTTAAGAGACTCAAAATTGAGGCCAAAGAGCTCAACCGCAACAGCAGCAACAACAATGTGAAGGACTGCGTGACCTCCACTTCTGACTGCCGGAAAGGTCACAGGACTTCACGGAAGTGCGTGTCAGGTGAGGACCTCCAGGAGGGTCTGAGGGAGGCTCAGGTTACACTAATCTCCAGCAACAACGTGTCGGCCAGCGGCTCTGGGAGAGATCTCAAGGTCATCGACAATATGGTGAACATGTACGAGGCGGTAGAGTCGTGTGGAGAGGCTCAACCCTCCTCTCACACAGAGGCCAAAACCTCCAATGACAATGATGATCTCACGGCCTCGCCATCGTTAGCCATGGGCTTGCCTAATCTGGAAGACTTTTACAGCAAGGAGACAAAAACGCTCAACACAAACGTCCTGGTGTCGGATTTTCTGCAGGAGATTACGTCGGATTCTGAAAAATTTGCCAAGGTTGATAATCGCAACCGGCCTCCATCCAAAGAGGTGAACATCTTGCAGGAAGCAGCAGAGGAGGAGGACAAAACGGAGAAAGTGTTGCTTGGTCAGAGGTTCTCGGGCGGTGTGAAGGCCACAAATCTCTACATCCAGCCCTCAGGGGGCTCCGGTGGGTTGGGGAAAGCCATGAAGATGAACACTGACCCCAACAACATCCTCAACAACAGCTTTGGCCACCATAATGACCCCAGTGCGGCCGTCGTCGGGTTGGTTGTTGGCCAGGTATCAAAGTTTGCTCTAGATGAGCCGGAACTGATCTCTGGAAAGGTGGATGAGGAAAATCTGGGGCAGCCGCTGACACTCAAACTGGCGGCATCTTCGTCGTCGTCATCCCCTCTCAGCGCGGCTACTGCTAAGCTTGATGAGGAAGAGAAAAATGTACAAATGCAGGCATTTGCCAAGTTCAACACATGCTCTGTGCAGAGTAACATCCGCACGGACCTCACAGATAAAGTGGCAGACTCCGATGCCATGGAGGTGGATGAGGTGAGGGACAAAATGGATCACATGTTGCTTCCAGCTACTTCTCAGTTCTCTCCCAGCTGTATGTTTCTCAAAACATTGGTTGTAATAACATTTTAGATAGTTTTGCTATCAATTTGACAAAATATGGTTTTTGTTGAAACAAATCCTTAACAAATGATGCTGAGGAATTATTTTTGTACACACGTAATGTTATTTATCAGATGTGTGTCTGACAGTATGTGATAAGAACATTAGCTGGAGGCTTGATGGTGTCTGCTCTCTTTATACTACATTGCAGTGTGGTTATTTTCACCATTTGTTCCAGGTGGAAGAACAAATGTCTGTGATGTAGTGATTAGTCTTTTAGCTCATGCATGCAGAAGACATGATTTCAGTTCCCATGTGAGGGAGTTATTTTATCAAATATCTGCATCCTGATGCTGGGATGTTGTGGCCCACTCGTTCAAGGTTGGTCCTTGTAGGCAAGGTGGAAGCAGCCCATTCATTTTTACCTAAATTGTGTCAATGGGAGTGTTAAACATGTTAAAACATATACATTAATTTTCAATCAAGAGCCTACCATGTACTAATATCTCTTTTAATTCTCTCCCAGGTGGAGCTGGACAGCTCTGAAGAGGAGGAAGAGCTGGAGTTGGCATCTCACAGCAGCACAGTGGAGGAGTGCTCTGGAGTGCCTAACTGTCTGCGACACTGCCCACCCCCTTCAGAGGTGGCCATGGCCAACGCAGCCTGGGAGGACTATCTGAGCCGTAACCGCAGCGTGGTGGTTAACACATTCCAGGGCCAGTTTCGAAGCACGGTTAGTCTCCCAAGAATGAAAAGAAAAGAGAATAGAGTTTAATTCTGTTTTGAAACCCTTGAAGAAGAAAGAAAAAAAATTAAGTACTTTCGTCATGATATTGCAAATTTCACTCTCTTAAAAGAAGTGTAGTTCTCTAGCAGGAGTTGATATGCATTGTCCTGTGATTGCAATGAGAATAGCAGTGTACAGCGAGTCGGCTAAAAGCGAAACCTGCATGTGTTATATCTCTATCTTTTTTTTTCTGATGGCAGGATGTTTCATTTTTTGTTCCCAAGTGTGGAGGTGTAACATCACAAAAGACACAAACAGGTTTTTTTGATGACAGGTCTTGTCATTCTTTGTCCTTGTTGCTTGCATTGATTCATTTCACATTAAAATACAAGGAACTTGATCTTTATTCCTGGAGAATTTTACTCTCAGCTGGTGGGAGTTACATTATTTCGTACTAGATTGCATCCAAATGCTTATAGAATATGTGTAATGAAAATGTCAGATTCTGGTTGACCTGTTCCATTTTCTTTCCAACCAGGTTGTGTGCTCTGAGTGCTGCCATGTATCTGTCACCTATGAACCTTTCATGTACCTCTCCCTCCCCATCCCGCACGCCATGGAACAACAGATGTGTAAGTGGAGACAACACTGAAATTCACTGTACTGCGTTTTAAAGCTTACTTTCTTTATTTCTGTTTTTGGCCCCTAGTGAAGCATGGATTGCCAGGAAGCTCTCTTCATCATATTTCTGGTCCAAAGTTCAGTCCTCCATGCCTGTACATCCTTATGCCATAGCACCATAGCTCTTCCTGTATGTATATATATATATATATTAGAGAGAGAGGGAGGGAGAGAGAGAGAGACTTCTCAGTGTAAGAGTTCGCCATACGCTTTTAGGAAAGCTTGCTCTGAGCAGTTTATATATAGGTTACAGGTGAAATAATCAGAATCAGACTTGTGTCCTGTTTTAAGATTTTTATGAGCCATTCATGTTTATATTGTCCTGGGGGTAGATAGTTATTGGGTTAATATAATAATAATAGATTGGATTTTTTTGGCACATGTCCCTTCTACATAAAAAATTTAATACTGTCCAACAGATACGAGGGTCGTGCAAAAAGTTTTGCCTCCTCTTCAATAACTTCTAAAATATTCAAGATATCTTCTTGAAATTTGTACCCAATTGACTTTCAATATGTATACTCTCAAACCCAAAAACCAGAATTATACTATGATGTCTCACCTTTATGCTATTGCTGTTTACATCAATGAAGCTAGTGTACATTTTCGCAGAGAAAATGGCGTCCAGCAAATCTAGGAATGTGCTCTTAAAGCAAAGAGCTGTTATTGAGTTCCTTACTGCAGAGGAAGCTGCACCCATCGATATTCATAGGTGAATGAAGCTTGTCTATGGTGAAGCATGTGTAGATGTAAGTACTGTTCGAAGATAGGCAAAGGAGTTAGCTGAAACCAGTCCAGCAGAGACAGTTTTGCATGACCAAGCTCGTTGTGGTCGTCCCAACTCTGCAAGTGATGTTCAACACCAGGAAAGAGTGGATGAGATCATCCAAGCGAACCGGCGGATCAAAATAAGAAATGTCTTTGAAATGCTAGGGATTTCTGTAGGGAGTGCTCAGTGTATTTTCCATGATGTGTTGGGTTACAGGAAAGTGTGTGCACGGTGGGTTCCCCACATGTTGTCACCCGAGCTGAAATTGATCCGAAGTCAAGTTAGTGATGAACTCCAGGCTTGTTGCACCGATGAAGGTGAAGCTTTCTTACGCCGTATAATTACAGGACTTGTGTACACCATTGTACCCAGAGAACAAAGAAAATCGAAAGAATACAGGCACACTGGCTCACCTAGCCCCAAGAAGTTCAAAGTTGTTTCATCTGCAAAGGAAGTGCTTATGACAGTGTTTTTGGGACTGTGATGGTCTGATTCATATGAAATTTTTGGAACAGGGCTCCTCTATCAACTCTGAACAATAATATATTGAGACTCTGAGAAAACTTAGAGCACGGCTGTCACGAGTTCGGCCTGGAAAAAATGCAATTTTGCATCACGACAACGCCCGTCCACACACGAGTCGACAAACTCTTGATGCCATGAAAAGTCTCAGATTTCAAGAGATCTTACCGCATCCATCATAGAGTCCGGACCTTGCTCCCTCTGACTTTTATCTTTTTCCTAAGTTGAAGAAGTACCTCAAAGGAAAATGTTATACAGATGACGATGAAGTTCAAGAAGATGTGCGTCGCTGGTTCAGAGGAAAACCACCTGAATTTTTCTCAGACGGCATGCGACAACTTATTCGACGTTGGCAGATCTCGACAAAGAAGGCAACTATGTTGAAAACTAAAGTTGTACTGTCATGTAGCAGACTTCCTAAGCTTTCATTTGGTGTATAACTTTTGTATGTAGCATTGCAGTAATAAAGGAATTATGAACTTGGAGGCATAGTATGGTCTGCTTATATGTCTTTTCATCGTCGCAGGGATTCAAATGGGTTGTTATCAGAATATGGCTGTTGTTGCACTACATTGTGGTATCATTGAAATCGTTGTGTTGGATGATCTGCTGCCTTGCTCTCAAAGAACCTAAAAAGTTTCAATCATGCCTTGACACCTCATATTGTGTTGTCTGCAGCTGTGACGTATGTGTGTCAGCACAGCCCGCCAGTACGCTACCTCCTGAACTTGCTCAAGACAGACAAGGTGGGCACAGCCAAGACACAGCTCAAGGAGTTGGTGGGACAGTCGTCGTCAGGGGAGATAGTCATGGCTGAGGTCTTGGACTCTCACATTTCCCGAATACTGGTAGGTGTTTAGGGGTGGATAGTTTTTGGGGTAAATGTTGAGTGTCTGTTCATAGTTGCTTGTATCCCCCGGGGCGGTGCCATTGACTGGTGTCTTTAGGCCTTTCCCAAAGGGGGGACATTTCTTGTTCTAATGCACAGTAGAATTGTAAACTGGCTGATCCAACAATGTCATGCTCATTACTGTACCTGAACTACAACAGGGAACTGCTGCTTTTTGTTTCCTAATACTTACTATCGTCATTTTCCTCTACTTCTTTTGTATGTTTGTCACACTCTTGTGACCTGCTATTTCCGCGGTGCCTTGATAGGCGAAGCTGACTTTGTGCTGCTGAAGCTAGAGAGGTGATCGTGAGCAGAGTAAGTCTGATTCCCTGTAAGGACTTCTCTGTTGACATCCACCCCTGGGCGCTCATATGACCGTATGCAGTTGCGAGCGCCGTAAAACCTCTATTAAAACAAAATAGTTGCTTGTGTAGAGGTAAAGTTTTAAACAAAATTATCATGTATAGTGTGTGTGAAAAGGTACACTTTTTTTTAAAGCAACTGCTAATGTTGTGTAATATTTTATTTCTCTTTTCTCCCATTTTCCCCGTCTCTATCTCTCCCTCTCTCTCTCTCTCCCTCTCTCTTTCTCTCTCTCCCTCTCTCTTTCTCTCTCTCCCTCTCTCTCTCTCTCTCTTTCTCTCTCTCTCTCTCTCTCTCTCTCTCTCTCTCTCTCTCCCTCTCTCCCTCTCTCTCCCCCCCCCTCTCTCTCTCTCTCTCTCTCATCTTAATTTAGTTACTGTATGCACAAAGAGGTTAGAAAGAGAAAATATCTCTTTTTGCATTTATTGCATTCTTGAGTCTAGAGTGATGTTTAGGTAAGGGAAACCCATTTCTATTTGTTAAGTTCTACTGCTGTTGTATTTGCAAAACGCTGTCTTCTGTATCAACTGGTTCGACTGATGCCCTCTTTTTAAATTCATATTTATTTGCAGATTGTTGGAGGGCATCACTGGTAGGTGACCCTAGTTATGTCTTTCCTTCTATTGTTCGTGTCTGTCTGTCTATGTTGCCCTTTCCTTTCAGGAAATGACTGTTATTGTGTCAAGGTCGTATTTGTTTACTCAGCTTACCAACAACTTTGTCAGGGGAGGATCAATAATTTATTTCTGTCTTGTCATATCATAATTTGTTCACTCAGATTAATAAGTTTCCATTTCTCCCAGGACGACAACATTCTGCTCAAGTATGTGAACACGTTCAACCGTCTGATTTACGCCTTTGAGGTGGTCTCTGTCGAGGATGTGAGTGACCTTGAAGCGGGATCGCCGCCATGCCAACACATCTTAAACAACGAGGAGAGCCCCTCCCTTCAATACGACTGTGACCTGCCGTCCACGTGCCGGGAAGAGCTGCCATACGTCAGCGACAGCCAGCTTTCCAATCAGAGCTTCGACTCTGTCAATGTTAACTCCCCCAGCTCCCGAGACACGCTGGACTATGTGTTTTCTGACTCGGAGGCGTGTGAGCCAAGTGTCGGAGTGAACAACACATTCTGCTCCCCGTCCTCCCTCAACACGTACATGGAAGAAGAGGAGGAGGAGCGGCAGACACAGGAGTGCCAGTCTACGTCTGACGAGGGGGTCACCATGACCTCTGCCTCGTCGCGTTCTCCTCCGTCCCTGGCCCCTGCTGCAGGTGCCAATAGCAGCGGTGGTCTTCATACCCTCCACCACCATGGTCGCCGTCTTTCCTCATCTCTCAATGAGCAGCCAGGTGACTCAGAGGAAGCCACTGGAAATTCTGATGGGACTGTTGTCCTTAGTTCTGATGTGTCTACGTGTGGTGACGGTGGTGTTTTGCAGCGTCTTTCGGCAGCTACTCCCGGCGTTGATGATAACAGTGGCAGTGGGATCTGTTCCACTTCCTCTTTTTGGACAGACGGCTGTGAGGATAGGGTTAATAAACCTGCAGGGTCTAGCTCGCCGCCAACTGCTGTTTGTGGCAGCTCAAGTCCAATGGAAGGGGACGAAGGGATTTCTGCTGCTCTGCCTTGTGCCGGTGATGGTCATGGGCGAGACTCGAACCGTAGGTCCCCCGTGCTTTGCAGTAGTAACAACAAGGAGGTCTTATCATTTGGTGCCGTTGCGTGTTTAGATGTGGACTCGAACGAGGTGGCTCAAGATGGAAGCCTGAACTGTGTCACCACGACAACCACCACCACCACTCCCCCAACCTCCCACGCCGCTGCGGCAGCTCGTGTCGTAGACAAGAACACAATGATCTGCCCTCCCACCCCTGCCACCTTCCCCAACAACAACATCAATAGCAGCAGCAACAGCAGCATTGGTACTGGTAATAGTGGCCACCACCACCACCATCACCACCACCACGCGGCTATCAGCAGCACCAGCGGAGTGGGCAGCAGCTACAGCAGTGCGGGAAACAGCAGTAGCAACAGCAGCAGACATTCCAGATCATGCCCGAGCCCTGAGCAGCTATCAGCCTCCCAGTCCGCCAACTCTGTCGTGCAGGACTCGACGCTTTTGGCGGTGGCTTCACGGCTGGGAGGGGAGGAAGAGCCGGGCACGTACTTTCTCCAGCCTCCCACTCCGCCTCATGAGAATTACAACTTGTACCCTGAGGGTAAGACCTTATCGTGCTCTCCAGATGATAATAATGGTGATGATGGTAATAGATAGATTGCATTAGTTTAGTGCATTCTGTTACCTGAAGGTAAAGTACCTGTGTGCTCTTTGTTTGGTAATCATATGGGGAGGCTCGTAATGATAATAATAATGACATAAACAGTGTAATGATGGTAATAATAGATGATAGATTGCAATTAGATCTTGTAGCCTGTGTCCTGAGGGTAAAACCTAACCACCCTTTTCTGTATGATAGTGGTAGATTGCATTATGTAACACCTTCCTAGAAAATAGGCTCTATAGCCTGTTTACATCACTGTTTTATTTTCGTCAAGACATGTAATAGGTCCAGGCATGTGCTAAAATATTTCATCATTAAATTGGTCCAAGTGTCAGTCATAAGGAATATTTCACTGTTACACTCAAAGTCAATTTTTGAAAAATCATGTCCCCCTGGCCTGGCCTTCTGTAGTCATGTAGATTTGGTGCAAATTTGACATTAAGAATAGTGATATTTTAATGGTAGACTTGAAATAAATAATTGAAAAATTATTCTCATGTGCCCTGGTGTCCATTCCTCGTTGTTAGTTCTACATAACCCTACCTGGCCATTACTCAGACTGTTTGTTGTCATCTATCTCTTTTAACAAATAAGGTTATAGTTTAAAAAAGAAAAAAATAATGTCCAAAATGTGTCATAGTGTGCTTAGATAATACTTTTAACTGAAAACTGAAATGAATGTCAAGGGAATTGTATTTTTTTTAATTTTTTTTTTTCTGTACTATGTCTCTCACCCACCTTCTCTCTAACCGAAATGACCATTACTGTTAAGGTTTAATTTTCTATAATTTGTGTTGTAAACGTCCAATGGCACCATAAAACAAACTAACTTTAGCTGACATTTTGTCATTAATTTTACCTAGGAAACCCGGGGATTCCCATCTTGATCAATAATAATTTTTTAAATTTCTATTCAAGATAGGAATGTATTTTTTTTTTCATCAAAAGCAAGACAAATGAAAAAGCTTTTAAAATGATACCAATAACACCACATGCCCAAAAATTGACAAGGGCTTTACTCAGCTACATCGTGACACCTTTCTTCATCTGACCAACCCCTCCCTCCCCTTACCATGCACAGATGATGGTACAGGTGAGGGTATGGGAGCAAACAGCCAGCTAGAAGACCACCAGCCTGAGCCCTGTAGTGTGGACACCAGCTGGTCAACTTTCCCCACTGCTCAGACACTGGACACAGATCTACAGGCTCGCTCTTTGGGTAGGCATTTTGGACTTCTTTTTACCCACACATCAAGACTTATCTTTGCTGCATGTAAAAACTTTCCTTCTTCTTCAAACAGGCATTTTGGATTAAAATTACCAAGTTAATTTTTAATTATTTGTTTTCAAGGGAAATCATGATAACAGAATCAAGACTGAAGTTGTTGGATAGCTTTAGAGAGAGATTTTGTTGCAACTCAGTTTATCTCCATTGTAGACTAGACTTGAAAAATGTGTTTTCGAAGAACCTGTCACCTCTCATACTCTTAGCCAGTGTAAAAATATCATGTTCCTTGGTATCTGGTTGTTCTGGTGACATTAATGACTCAACTCAATGGTGAACTTCAAAATGTTCGTGGTTTTTTGTTCTTTGAATCAGTCTCCCGGAAAAGAAGTCTGTTTGATCCATGGTCACATAAAGATAGGTGAGAGAAAAGATTGACAGGTTTTATGTAAAGATATGTATTGACTGCTCAGTGTAACACTGTCGTATTTCACTTTTCAAAATTGCATTTAATGGAGTCTCACAATAAGCAGTTAATCTAATATGTACATTGTAAGATGAATACCTTTCAGTGTTGTTTTTTTAAAATCGATGTAGAAAAGTGATTATCAAGATCAGGAAGGTGACTTTAAGATTGAGATCTCAGGGGGTTTTTTTCTTCTTGCCCCAAAATATTATTATGTTCGTTTATTGTAATTACTTTTAAATACTTTTTAGTAAAATTGATACGCTAATATAGCACAATCAGTGGGTTTAAGACATAGTTTTTGTCGTTTGTCCAGGTCCAGACTCGAGTAGCTCGGTGCCAGTTGAGTGGCGGTCGTGTGCTATCTGCCTGGAAGACTTGCTGGACACAGAGTTGTTGACTCACATAGCTTGTAGCGGTGTCTTCTGCCACAACTGTCTGCAGGTGAGAGCTCTCTCAACCCCCAACCATATTGATCCTCATTCCCTTCTTTGTTGCGCCCCCCCCCCCCCTCCAATCATCCATCTTCATCTATTTATTATCTGCCATCATCATTGTCCTCATCATCATCAATTTAAATATGATCTGCCATTATCATCATCATCATCATCCACAATCACAATCCTCTTCCATCATCGTTGTTATCATCCACCATCATCATCGTCATCTTGATCATCGCCATCCATCATCATCACTTATGAACTCTTTCTGTAGATCATAGACACTTTGAGCTCTGACTGGTTGGGAATTCAGAACATTTTAGTTGGGCACATTACACCTACTGAAGGTGCAAGGAAAATTCATAAGCACGCGCACGTCTAGCTGTTTCAGGGTTTTGATTCTCTTAACGTTTGGGAGTTTAAAAATATGCAGTAGTGAGAAAGGCAAAGTTTAGCTCAATGTCTTTGAAACTTCTGAGTGATACAAGCATGTCATTTTGTAGCATTTCGACAAATATCTAATCTTGTCTTATAATAATCTACCAGCAAATAGCCAACTTTTCTGACTTGTTTCTCTCCCCCCCCCCCCCCCCCTCTCTCTCTCTCTGTCCAGATGTCGGTGAAGCACACGGCTGATGTGGCCACTTTCTGCTGCCCAGTAAGTATCTCCCTGTGTGCTTATTTCATAGACTAGTAATGCCAAGGCATTAGGTCTCGGAGGTCCTGTGGGCAAGTTGCACATGTTAAAGATCCCTTGGTGGTCTTAAAATCAATAACAGTTAACTTTGGCCACCACCTGGGCAAGCTCATATGACTTTTGCAGTTGCGAACACAGTAAAACATTTGCATAAGAAAAAGAAAAAAAGAAAAGTGGGTGGTTGGCGGGTGCTCTGGTCTGGTTTTCTCCTTCTTTCCTATCATAGATCTATCGTCCTGATCTCCCCTTCTTCTTTTTTATGTTTGTTACTCTCTTGTAACACCTCTAATCATCTGGCGCTCATATGACCTTATGCAGTTGCGAGCGCCGTAAAACCTCTACTAAAACTAAACTAAAAAAAAGAAAAGGCATTGTCTGATATATTGTCATGGTCATAGCACAATGACCGTAGCCTTCTTTTTTATTTCTGTTTTCTCGTTATTGGCATTAAAAAAATGCCTATGAGTTGTTTAGTATCATATAACAGGGGTTTTTTTGTTGTATGAAAAGTCATTTATTGAGACATGTTCACTTTTGCTAAAGTCAGTAGCCATAAGGTTTGGTGTTTTTTCACCTTGCGGATGAATAGTAATTTGACAAATAGATGGCTCTGAGATCATAGCTCTTTGTGTTCCCATACAATTTTTAACTCTTTAGGACTGCATTCATTGGGGGGGGCTGTTTGTTTAGAAAATTTAGTGAAAATGATGCTTATCGGACACAGAACATTTAAATGTTATCGAATTACACAAAATGTGAACATGCAGAACATTTTCGATTTATTTTTTCACATTAATATGTAGTTGTAGCCGGTCATGAATGAGTTGCAGTTAGGGAGCAGCATAGACTTAAGGGCAATTACAAGGTTATTCAATGTTTGAGAGCTGTCCCTCCTCGCCGTTCTGGTGCAAACTCGTTGTGAGCCGTTGTTGAACCTGCTGTAATGGCCACCTGTCTATGACAATCAACGGTACAAAAGACCACTTCCACCTCCCTTACATGATTTTTCTGTATCATGGTGGCACTGTTCAAGAGGACCTCCTGTCTAAGATGACCACTTCTCTTTCTGAAAACGGATGTTCATCTGGAACAGATTCAACTATTCTTCTTCTCTCCTATAAATGTTCAGTATTTCCATCACACTCTCACTCAGGGTGCACCATTTTCTCAGTTCAATAGGTGTTGTCAAGTTGGACTTTACCTAGTTTGATTCTGTGACAGGATTCTGTGGATCAGTCAGTGATTGTCAACCTTTTTATAGCCAGCTTTGAGAGGCTGACATTGTTTGTGTACTGCCCACCTACATGTATTTTTCAAACAGTGCATTAGATAATGTCTGTCACTACCACAATTCCCAAATCGCCCAATAGTGAACGATACCATCTAGGTTGGCTGCACTTTTCTAGAACACGGGGCTGGCTTGTTTTGGTTGTCTACATCAACCTATTGGTTGGGTCCTTTTGAAGATGTAGTGGGTGGTTGGCGGGTACTCTGGTGTGGTTTGCTCCTTCTTTCCTATCAAATGTCTATTGTTTCTGTCTGTCTCTCTTACTTTTTCCCAGCTCTAAATGATCATTATCGTGTCGATGTGCTTCTCTTTACTCAAACAAACAAGCACAATTTCACAACGATGACAATTTTCACTTTACTTCACTACCACCCCAGATCTGCCTGCAGCCAGCCAATGTGTGTGAGGATTTTGTTCCTCTCGCCAGTGCCTCCACCGCCAAGCCAAAGATCAGGTGACTGAACATTTTTTTTTAAATGTGGAGGTTGTACAAAATCTCATTTTTCTTTTTTTTTTCTTTTTCTCTAGTGTTCTATGAAAAAGGTACGGAAAAAAAATGTTCCTTGTATTTCTCTACAGATTGATGGTAGCATGAAAAAAAAAAAATCATTTTTACTACCAGGGTAAGTCAAAAAGTAATGCAAGTTCGTTTATAACTTAAAGAAAAAAGAACACACTTGCATCTATGATACCTCAAATTATAGGGGAGTGTCTGAGGATCAGATTTTTATTTCTCAACTTAGTCTCCATTTCGTTCAATAGCCACTGTCCACCTATGCCAGCTTCGTAAAACTAAGCAGGTTGGTCGTACGGGTACAGCAGTCTTGATTTCTCCATCGTTTCAAAAGTGTTGACCTCTCAATGGTTCTTTTCTAGGACCGAAAAGGTAGAAGTCTAAAGGAGCTAAATCAGGAGAATAAGTTGGGTGGGGCAGTGTTTTCCACATAAACGGGGTGATTTAGTCCCTCGTTCTGGTACTCAAATGCTGGCGGGCATTGTCATGGTGAAAAAACGCTCTTTCCACGTTCAAATTTGATCGGGCTCGTCAAATTCTCACTTTCTGTTGTTTCAATGTAGGGTTCAGAATTAACAGTTGCTCCTCGTAAAAAAATATCTGTGAGGAGCACGCTATGAACGTCCTAAAACACAATTGCCATGATTTTTCTGGCTGACTCCTCAGGACGATGCTTGTCTGGTAAGCATATGGACACGTCTTCCTGTTCTTCCGGTTCATTGCACATTACGTCCTGACCCACCTATATACAGTGCCAAAATCTAGAGCTTGGTCTTTGTAAACACTTTGAAGTCAGTTTTGGACGTTATCGGTGGATTCTCCTTCCAAAACAAAGAATTCAACCACTGCTCTGTACCTCTGACAGACCTCCAAGAGGGTAGCCAATTCTGGCCAAAATTAAAGAAACTTAAAGTTTAACAATCTGAGTTCAAAAGTATGTAAGCTAGTACTTGTGAGCTGAATTTAATTAATTTTGCGACAACATTTTTCAAAATAATGAACAACTTGCATTACTTTTTGACTCCCCCTGGTACATTTTTCAGAGAAGTATAGGACTAGTAGTAGTCATGGGAAATGAAAAACTAAAAGTTGGAGACCATTTTACCCGTTTGGGCTCCACTGCCAACTGCAAGCAAGGACTTATCTCATGGAAGTCACACCCAAAATCTTTGTCATGGACCCTTACCTAGACTTCTGCATTTAAGTGATAGTGCAGCGATGCTAAGTTTATGAGGAGATGATGTACATTTGATGCTGGGGGGTTCTGTTTGTGCTTTGCTGATCTATTTCTTTGAGCTGTCCTCAGACTATTTAATTGTGCAAAATTCCCATTGAAAATGTTTTATCTAGAATTTCCCTGTATTTTGAAGCTTTTTCCATATTGTCTTTGACCAAAGCCTGTGAACATTTATTCATGCATCTAAGAAATAGGTTGATCTATATTTGTAGATAGATAACCTCACAGTAGAATGGAGCATTTGCATTTAGTCAATGTTCAACAATGGCACCTAATTTTCCAGGATGCTTCCCGTGAGTGTTGCGTACCGACACAGCGTGCGTGACAACACGGGTGTGAGCACTCTTCAGCTGTATGGACACCCACACATCCTACACACGCCCAGTGTGGTCAGTGGCCGGAGCCTGTACAGTATGGTGGACACACTCTTGTCCTGTATGGCTGACCGCTTGGTGGGCTCGGCACTCACTACCTACACTATCCTGCTGACAGACGGACAGGTGAACAGATTGTTCTTGTTGTTTGTTGGGTTTTTGTTTTGTTTGTTTGTTTGTTGTTTTTTTTTCTTTCTATTTTTCTTTTTCTTCTGTAGGTGGTGGGAGGGCACCACTGGTAAACCACACAGTTCTTCTTTTCTTTCACTCTGTTGATTCTGTCTCTCCGTCTCGCTTTAAAATTTTCTAATTGCCAGTTATCAGGTAGGTTTGCCACTGTTTACTCAAACTTAACTTAACTAGAAACTGAAAGTTGCTTCATTTTGTTGATTTGCTTATCTCAGACTGGCTTTTTACATTCTGAAGTTTGCATTATCTCATCCTAATCCCCAACACCTCTATTGTTGTAACCTTTCTGAAAACACATTTTTCTTGGATGCCTAGATGAATATTATCATGTGGATGTGCTTCTCTTTAATGTAAAAAAATAAAAAGAAATAATTGTTGTTGTTTGCATTTGCTTTTCTTTTCTGGAACAAAGTGTTGAATTAATTAAGCTTCTGCGTTACAGTAATTAATTAAGCTTCTGCATTACAGTAATTAATTAAGCTTCTGCATTACAGTAATTAATTAAGCTTCTGCATTACAGTAATTATTTTTAAGACTGACGTTGTACACAGAAAAGACGGCTCTCGTGGCCTAGAGGTTAAGGTGTTCGCCTCTTATTCAAAGGTCCCAGGTTCGAATCCAGGTTGTGACGGAAAAATTTTCTTCTCTAAAATTGTCTCCTTTCACCTCCTTTCCTGCTCTCCAGCATTGTTCTGTCGTCTGCTTTCATTTCCTTCTTCCCCCACCGTATCACGTCCTTTCCCCCTCCTCTGGGCTCCTGACTCTTTATGCAGCCTTTTTACTGCTACTCCTTGGCTCTTTCTAACGACTGTCTTTCAGCATGGGTCTCAATAGTCCGCTATTTAGCGGATTTCCGCTACCACCATTTCCTCCGCTGAACTCCGCTACCGCGACAGCGGGCCAATCAGAAAAAGGGTTGTTGGGAGCGGGGTGACTGCCTGGCCCCGGGAATTTTTTTTTTTAATCGCAGAGATCCGGGAAAATACATAAAAGGTCTGGAATATTTGAAAACCAAATCCAACTACGTCTTTAAGTTAATTTCTGCCGGTCGCGATTGTGATAATAATTCGGCTCTGAGAGTATGTTTCACGCGAATTGGCGGCAAGCGGAATTGTGTCACCAAGACTCGACTTGGAAAATCAAGATCTACTTTCGCTTTCGTTACCACCCAGAAATTTGTCAGTAATTTTCTGATAACACAACATTTATTGTAACATGAAGGTTCGGCATTACAAACGTGGTGTTGCCATGTAAACAAATCAATATTTGTCACTGTGCTGTCACTTGTGGGGGGGCAACAGAAAAAAGAAAATAGTTATACAAGCGTCTTGTCGGGCTCGCCATTGTGACCGGTCAATGAACCTGCACGCGTTCTGGGCGCTGCGAAGTACAGGACTCATGAATGGGGGGAGATTATTGATTTTTTTAAAAGACGCCCTCGAGGATAGGGGGAGGGCTGGACGCAACACCAGAGGACAAAAAAACCCAACTGAAACTGGAAGCAAATGTTTAATGTTTAGAATTTTAATTACTACTAGATCTACAGCTCTCTGCAAAGTGTGCGTTGGTGCAGGCCTTGTGTGAAATCGGAAACCGTCATAACTTGTAAGTGTGTTATGGAACGTACGGGCCTAGGTGTTCGCGCTTCATTGGATTGGTGACAGTAAATTAGATCTTTATATAGATATTTTAGCTTCCTCTTCAAGATTCGCAGATTTTCAGTATCACTGCATCTTGCCCTCCCACAGTTCTTACTCCTCTCACACTGAATAGGTCTACTTAGGCTTTTCTACTCTACTTTGAGTTTGAGCATTAATTTTTGTCTTTCACGTTTATTATATAGGCCTATGATATGAATCATGACAGCTGATATTCTGGTTCTTGGCTCAAAACAAGATTCATTTTTATATAGTTTATATATATGCAAGCGAATATGTTGAAGGGAAAATATAAATAAGTCGCACAAGACCCCAGGCGCCACCATTGTCAGTACGTAATCAAGATTGTAAATAATTGGTACGTGACTCTTACTAGAAATTATCTCCCATATCCTCAAATTGGTGTGAAATAACCTTGTTTTGATAAATTGATGGTTTTTATTTCAGCATTCTAGGGTTCAACAGTATAATAATGGGTATTTCGCGAAAATGGGCTTCTGCGACGATCACCCAGAAAGTTCCTTCTTTTTTTAAATTCTGAGTTGAGACCCATGGTCAGCCACACCTTTGATCTCTTGGTAGGAAAGATCTACACCTAGCCTTCTCAGACAAGGGCAAAAAATCTCGGCAGTTGCGTATTCAAGTTACGCACATTAAAGATTCCTTGGTGGTCTAAAATCGATAAGAGTAGGCTTCGGCTGCCGCTCTGGCAAAATTCATAATTTCCTACCAACTGAAAAAATTTTATGTGTCCCGCGCACTCATATGACCTTATACGGTTGTGAGCGCTGTAAAACACTTAACAAAAGAAAACAACAACAAAAAATCAACAGAAGGGACATGAGTTTGGCTTCTGGGTGGGGAGAGCTTTTATTGAGTGTCTCTGTTTATCTGCTGGGACTATATGTCTCCTTCAGCTTGGCCTGACCCTGGCTGGTGGCGTCAATGTAGCTAGCTGCCTTCTAAATGATATAAATTGTGTCGATTTGGGTGTATAAATTATGAATTTGTGTTACCGCTTTTCCTCAGGGTCTAAGCTGCTCCCGGTGCCCCTACTCCTGCCACTGTACAGGCTGTGAGGTGGCCCGGGAAGGGGAGCTCACCCTGCAGCCCTCGGACTGTCTGACAGTCCATGCTGGTCAGATGCTGGCGACGGAGGAGGTGAGGGAGCTGGGGGAGGTGAGGGACGACGTGAGCATGGAGGGTATGAGGTCGTCCCAGCCCACCACCATCATGGACTGTTTCGGGGCCTTCACACAGAGGTATGTAGATGGCTGGTTTCTTGGTCTTTGTTCATGCAGAGGTGTGATTTTAAAAGAAGCCTCTATCGACTCAATTTAGGTCATTTAGGAGACTGGCTTCCGACCCTACTTGTTTGGGGCCAACTTGGGCTGAGAGAGATATGTCTCAGAGTTATGTGAATTTCTGGTTTCTTAGTCTATGCTCATGCAAAGGTGTGATTTTAGAATTAAAAGTGTTACAAGAGAGTAACAAACACATTAAAGAAGGAGGGGAGATATAGACGATAGATATTTGTTAGGAAAGAAGGAGCAAACCACAACAGATCACCTGCCAACTACTCATGTACTGTAGTATTAGAGTTTGGTAAACTTACTTTTGATGTGCTCTGAATGATTATAAAGAGAATAGTCAATAGCACTTATTTTGTGCTCTGTCCCATTAGGAAACAAGCTCTTATAATACTGATATTACAAAGGTTTGGCTTGTTTTGTCTCGATATAGAAAAAATTTCTCCTCTTTGTCTGAATGGGCCAAAAATTCTCTGGTTTGTCAGGATAAAACAAAAAGTTTTCCAGTTTGTCTCAGTAAAACCAAACTGTCTGGTTTGTCTAGATGAGTGACCCCCACGCTGGTTCCTTGTTCTCTTCTATGTAGTGTTAAACCGTGATATTAAGCTTTAAGTAGAACAAAGACTGCCGTTTGTTGCGAGCAGCACAGTTAATTACATGTTAGCTTGGTAACTGTTACAATTTTTTTGTCTGGAATATTTTTAGCAGTATCAAAAACTAATGAAAGAAGCTGCAGAGCTGAGCACTCCTCCCAACCATGTAACAATTTCCTTTTTTTATGGTTATAGTCTTTGTATTTTATTGTGAAAAGTTGAACACTTGCCAGCCGCTCAACAATTGCCTTTGTTTATGGTTGTGATCGTTGTATCTTGATGTGGTGTGACGTTTCAGCGAGACTCTGGACGAGCACAACCCCTGGTACTGCCCCCAGTGTGAGCAGAACCAGTGTGCCAAGAAGACCATGACGGTGTGGAGGTACCCGGACAACCTCATCATTCACCTCAAGAGGTTAGTGCGCTGGGTTGTTGGGGTTTTTTTCTGAACCGTACACACATTCTGTCATCCTGTTTTGTTTTTTGGATTCTTTTTTTTTTCTTTTTTTTTTTTAGCAAATTCTGTGTTTTGTTTCGTTACAAGGATGCACACTTCTTGTTCCAGAACTCTTTTTGTGTTTATTAAATTTCAAGGGTAACCTGGGAGAGGATGGGGTGGCGGGTACAGTTAGTTTCTTCTTTTTCTGTTTGCTTTATTGCCTTAGTAATGCTTAATTGTAGAAGATTGGGCATTTTCTGTTTGTTCAATTACAGTTTTAATATTTTAACATTAGAAGAGTGGGCATTTTCTGTTTTCATAATTGCAATAAAGGCATATTTTGTTGGTTTAATTACAGTTTTAACTCACTCACTGCCATGCCCGAACCCTGTCGGGTGAACCGCGTAGACCACTGCCTGTCAAACCCGAAATCTGTCGGGTGCGTTTTTACTACTACAGTCGAACCTGCCCTGACGGCCACCTCTATAAGACGGCCACCTGTACAAACGGACACTTTCCATTTACCCCCTTGTGTTTTTTCTATATAATTTAACTGTGTAAAACGGGCACCTGTCCAATGCGGCTGCGGCCACCCATATTTCAACACACAACCCCTATCACACAAAGCAATAACACCTGTCTTAGACGGCCACCTTAGTGACTCCGTTACGCTTAGTCATAAATCAAGCATTGGCCCCTGGCGTTGTGGGCGAGCCGTCATAATCTATAAACCTGTCGTTGTTAGGTAGTCCCTCCAACTGATCATGTTGCGTAGGCCCCTCCCACTGTTGACCAATAGCAGGGCTGCCTAAATCTACCGATTTTTCCGGTATATACCGATTTTGGGCTTGTTCTACCGACATACCGATAAGGTATCAAAATTACCGGATTTTCGATGGGTGCCGAGAGAATAAAAAGAAAAAAACATTCTGCAGTGCTTCCATTCTTTGTTTTTACGGAAATCCGTACATTCCTAAAGTTCTGTACTTGCCGCATCATCATATCAACTCCATGCGTTGAGAGAGAGAGAGAGAGAGAGATCAGCACTTGCCTCCGTAACTTGTCAGATATTTACGGCAACTCTCGGCAATAAGTTGTCTTAGAAACTGACAGATTGCGCAGTTCGTACACTCGTCTACGAGTCTATCAGTGCCGTTCGGTCGGCAATAGTTTTTCACGTGCATATCACCGAAATCTGTCTACTCACGATAGATAATCTTCCTCCTTCTTTTCATTCATTCTTTCTTTCTATCTTCAGTTTTTTTGCTGCGGCTGGAAAATCTGTGCATTTAATTCATTTATCCAGAAAACAGAATTGGGAATTTAGAAGGAAAATCGGTATCGAAGCAAAACATTCTAAAATCTGTCTTGGTCTAGAGAATTGGTCAGTACCAAATAAGGATTCTACGCAGGGGGACTGCGGGAATTTATTACCCTGGACCCGAGAAAATGCACAAAGTAAAGTCCCCGAAACCAAATCTGAAAAGCCTTCTGAGTTCATATTTTATTGGTCGTGTTTGTGATATTACGTTCGGCTTTCCCCAGTCCGAGAGTACGTTTAGCGCGAAGAGCGGCTATGGCGGCAATCGGAAGTGTAGGTGTAATACTGAGACTCCGTTGGGAAAATCAAAATCTACTTTCGCTTTCGTTACCGCTCAGAATTGTCGAATGATAGTTCGTTGACGTTAGATTTAGTTAATAAAAATTTGTAACCTGCAGTTTGTGCCTAAAAAACATAATGTAGCCATAAACATTAAATCGATATTCTCACTGATGTCACTATAATGACAAAAAAGAATAAGAAAAAGAAAACAAGCGTCCTCCAATTTCTAGATTGTCGGGCCCGTCATCGTGACCGGTCAATGAACCTGTGAGAGTTCGTGAGTACGGCATGAGCAAGGGACCGACCGGTAGTTGTTGGGAAAAGCCTTATCAAAGTTCATTCAAAGTAGGAGCGTTGCAGGGCGTCGGAATTGAGGGTAGGTGTTTGATGCTATACAGTCTACGGCAGCAGGAAAAGGCCGCAGTGCAAGAAACCGATGCTAAAATAAAAACGATAAGTGTACGTGGTTTTGACATTCGACAATCGAGTGCGTAAATGAGGGAACATTAGAGCACAGGCTTGATGATTATATCTTCAAGGTTAGTGTTCCTGGATTTGTCAGTGATGACAAATTGAATAGTGGCAATGAGTAAATGCCATTTTCAACCCTCGGAAAGCTCTATGTTGGATGCCTATGCATCATGATGGCTTGTTGCATCACTACATCCCACACTCTCACAGTCCTTCCAGCTCCGGCTATATCGGTACACACTCTCTTTTATTTTCACTTTTTGCTCTGCCGGGAGCCTAACTATAAAGGTTTTATAAATAAGTTTTGTCTTGCATACTTTTTAAAAGTCCGTGATTGCTGAAACCAAACATGGTTTTGGCAGTTGATGTTCTTCTGGCCTCTCCTCAGGCCCAGATCAGGATTCATTTTGTATTTTTAGGGTAAAACTAGTTAAAATTAATTGTCTGTCATACCTAAGTCACAAAGGACCTATCGGTGTCCTATGCTAGTGTCGTGAAATATGTTTTAATTTAGTTTCTATTTGTATGGGCTAGCGGTTTTGAAGTCAGTTTGGCAATCACCCTGCACTCAATTCCAGATTCAATACTGAAGGATAGGTGCCTTGAACGATAGTCCATAAAATGATTTTTTTTTTAAACCCAGCCTCGCCTCATTTCATACACACTGTTCTTCGTAACTTGTGCACACCCATACACCCCCTTCCTTCCCCACGCACATATTACATATGTAGGCACATGCGAGAGCATGGCAACATGCACACACCGACACACACACACACACACATGTGCATGCACAAACAAGTTTTCAAAATATAATTACCCAATACATGTATCACGGAAAGCAAGCGTGTTCGGTGGGGCAACGATCATCTTTTTTTCCTTCTTTGTCTTTGTACTACCTGATTTTGGGCCAATCTACCTGAAAATGACCCTCATCAAATCTACCTGAAATGGGAACTTTGAGGTAGGCAGCCCTGCAATTGGTAACAAAATTAATTTCCAGCTGCTGGGGAGGGAAGCGTGTGATCCCTCATAACCCATAAGCCCCGCCCAGAACCCATACACAAATCGCAAGTGAGATGAGTGGTCACTGTTTACCCAGTCTGTAACAAAGTAACAATGAACGTCAGCATGAACTTGTGACAGAAGTGGTAGTACGGGTGTTTGTTTCACCATAGCACTTGATCCTCCTTGTCTGACACATTTCGTTTTATTGTCACTCGTGCACAAAAGCAGCAACAAAAGAAAAGAAAACCCAGCGAAAACAACAACAACAATGCAACTACCTTCGGTTGGGACCTCAGAAAGGAAGGGTTTGTTTTCTCAGAAAGGAATGGTTTGTTTTCTTATCTTGATCAGTCCTGCCTAAGATGGCCACCTGTCTTATACGGCCACTTTTCTCCTTGACAAGGGGTGGCCGTCTTACACAGGTTAGACTGTATTTTTCAAACATTCCCCGACTGTATTTTTCAAACATTCCCCGACGTGTTTCGGGCTCGGCAGTCAGAAGTAGGCGACATAAGCCAGTGTAGTTTCGATTCCGCCTTGTTGCAGTAACTTCCCTTGAATAAGTTACTTAAAAATCAGACTTTTTCGAACTCACCCGAAACGAACTAAAAATTACTGACGCTCAGTTACGATGGCGACGGCGTCTCAAAGAGGTTGGAACATTTGAATTGATGGACCCATTCGTCAATAAAGGGTCAGATTTAGATCTTTTAGCAGATGATAGTGATGATGAACCATCATACAGAGTTGATAATGAGTACAGGAAAGGAAATAGCAGAGGTGCGGACAAGTGAAGATGAAATTTGTGCTAGATCTAGGCCTAGATCTAGAATAGGGTGTTCCCCGTGCTCAGACCAATGATCCGATGCTTCCCGGTCCCAGTTCAGGCCGTCACGCAAACGTCAAAGATCTCACAACGTAGATTTAGACCCCAAATGATGGGAATACAGCTGATATAGACCCTCCTAGTCCTAGGTCTACACAACAAACTTCAAATAGTGACACCCCTCCCCCAGTGGCCATGCCCCGTCCTGCAACCACGCACCCTGATGTTGATGCTCAAATTTGTCAGATATATTTTCATAGTGACTCTTCAACATTTGTCAGTTGATACATCTATTTCTTGCAGAGACAAAGATATAAAGGCATGCCTATCGACTGAATGTACCGAGCACCTAAATGTTATGTAAAAGTTTTTTTTCTAGATTTTGCCACATATTCACAAACTCATAAAATTTCACACGATAAAGGTATCACAAAATTTTTTTTGATTTGTTGAGTATGTTTCAATGTCATTGTTTGTGGAAAAGTTCAATGCTGTACACAAAATAATAAGCTCACAGTGAGGTTTTGAAAAAGGTCCTGAAAGCCTGGCATTCCTCAGTTACCCTGCGGAGAAATGCCTGGCAGTGAGTGAGTTAACATTGATTTGAGAAGCGTGGACATTTTCCGTACGCATAATTGCAATAGTAAGCTTTTAGTTCTCATGATATCTGCATATTGATTATTAGATTACATATTTAACTTTTTAATTCTTCTAGATGTAGACCGGTGGTTGCCAACCTGGGCGGGTTTCACCCACTAGTTAGTGATATGGTAATTTTGGTGGGTTGTGAGGCTCACCACATGGGTAGTGACTGGTGTTTTTTATTTATTTGATGCCTAGCTCGTGGTGTCTGTTAAAAGGGGCAAAAGTGGACGCTGGCTCTGAAAAGGTTGACAGGCACTGATGTAGAAACTTTTCGTTTTTATTGATGGCGGTTTTAACCTTTGAATTCTAGATTTTATTTTAGTGTTAGAAGCAGGCACAGTGACAGAAACAGCAAAAAGGTTGTAGAATAGTGTTCTGTTTCTTTCTACAGAAAGTTCCAAAACTTGGAGGGAATTTTTACTGTAAGTCTTTTGCATCTAGATTTGCTTCAGATTGGGGCATGTTCCTGCTAAATGGTCCGCGGGCATTAAAAATTAACAATTGATGGAGTACCACAGTTTTCTTTACAACCTTCTATTTTTCTTTCTCCCCAGATTTGTTTACCAAGACCTGTCAAGCACAAAGGTAGACACCAAGGTGATCTTTCCACACACAGACATGGACGTCCGTGGGTTCCTGTCTGGACCCAGCACATCGGGCCTGGTCTATGACCTCTACAGCACGGTGTGTCACTTTGGCGGGGCCAGCGCGGGTCACTACACTTGCTTTGCTCGCCACCCTCTGACTGGAGAGTGGTACTACTACAACGACGAGACTGTTGCGCAACAGACACCCGCCGACAGCGAGTACAGCAGCGGTTATCTCCTCTTTTACCAGCGGCAAGGTGAGGGCTGCTCCTCCTCTAGATTGCTGTTAGTCTCTGTCGAAGGCCAGTAGGCAAGAGAGGTCATTTTATAAAACCAAGCAGAGAAGTTTTCTTTTTCCTTCTCTTTTTCTCAGTATTTTCCACCACCTCCTGTTTCTTCGTCTTCAAATGTCCCACTTGCAACAGAATCCAGTGATCGTGGTACCCAATCATGTCTTTGATCGGATGCTTTAAAAAAAACAACATACCCTGGAATTGTCCTTGTCTTTTCCCCAGAATCGTTCCATAAGGATATTTATTGCGTCAGTCCTCTGCCAACTACGTGTAGGTTTAAATTTTTTTTTTGGGGGGGGGGGGGGGGGGGGAGTATTTTTTAAATTTCATTGTAGTTTGTAGCCTAAAATGATGAAATAAGCTTCTAAATAAGTAGAGGTTGCGACTTTTCTCAATTGTAGATGTGGAGCAGCAGATAAGATGATGTGGACTTTGTTCTTAAATGTTGGGGATGCGGAGTAGATGTTACTACAGCAGACAAATATATAAACGATATTTTAAATGACGCAGATTTGTATTTCAATAGCAAAAAGTTTGTTCTGAAGATGTACAAATATTTTCAACTGTTGAAAGTTTGCTTAAGAATTGTTCATGAACCTTGTGTTTGATTGTGTCTTGTTTTATATTTGCAGGCCAAAATGTTGACTTCACTCCACCTCAAAATGTTGCTCTGCTAGAGGACGAGACAAATTTCAATCTCTCAACCACCACCGCTACCGCTGCCAGCACAACAGCTGTAGCAGCAGCTTCATCATCTGCCACCTCATCAACATCCGTGTCGGCTTCATCATCATCATCTCAGGGCACAGCCGTTACCATCAATGTGAGCAGCCCCTCTCACAGCAGCAACAATGTGTCGCGTTCTGCTGCTGCTACTTCTCCTGCCTCCACCCTCCAGCCTCCCACCTCCTCTTCCTCTCCGTCCACCCTCCTCAGCTGGTCCCAGAAAGCAGCGAGAAAGGAAGAGGAGGAGGAGGAAGAGGATTATGACGACGAGCGGCGCGGGAGCTCTCTGTGCGGGGAGGAGTCGTTTGTCATCCATTTTGGTTCGGGTTTCCCAGAACATCCTGACCACCGCTTGAGTGAGGAGGGAGCGGGGGCTGGAGGCGAAGGGGGGCAGCTGCTCATAGCTGAGCCAGACAGCACTTTGGACTTTTATTCCTAATCGAGCAGAAATAGGTCGCTGATCTTGTGGTGGTGAAAAGACATGAAGTGAGGAAGGGCAGGGTAAAAATTTACATATGCTTTGTTTGAATTTTCCCCTAAATTGTTTACAGAAGCATTTTGTTTTGTTGTTTTCTCTGTTGTTTCCTTTTTTCCTCAGAATTATTTTTTTTGTGTGAACAGTCCATGGAAGCGAGGAAAATTTGAGTGAAAGAAGTCTTTACGTGTCATTTAATATAATTTTTAACTTGAATTGATGGGAAAGAGGTTTGTAATTGTACCCAACAACAACAATTGATTTGTAGCTTCTTTATGGTTATATCTATCGGCGGATAGGGGTGGGATCATGGCAAAACTGCAGGGTGGATTGATTTGATATTTGCAGATATAATGGAGTGTCATTTGAATGTCTCAATTTTGTTATCTTTGGTATTGTGGCTGAAACTGGACTTGGTCACCTCTGGCTCTCAGCCAACTATATTTTCCATTATGTATTAAATTTTGTATTGGTTTTCTTTCGTTTTTTGTTTTTTTTAAATTGATTTGTTTGTTGATATTGAAAATGTGTACCAACTGTAATTTTTGTGTGGATGTGAATGTATTTGTGTGTTTCTGTATTGTTAGGAACTAATTTGTGTGGGTTGCTTATGTCTAATGTTACACATGTATTATTAATCTGTGTGTTTTGAATATGTTTTTGTTTGTGTATATATATATACGTGTATTTAATTTATATAATGTGTTTGAGCGCAAGTATTTTTTTGTGGTAATTCTCTTACTCAAATGTTCTGACGGGTGTGCCGACCCCGTTAGAGCAACTTGCACACATTTTTTTTAAAAAGTAATGTGTGGAACATGGGTCGGGGGTGGGGTGGGGTTATTCCTTCTGAAGCTTTTCCATCTATTCATTATTCAGCATGTGAGTTTCTGCTGACTAGTGTAGTGCAATGATGTTGACGTGCTGTTGAGTTTGTCCGTTTTTCCTTTTCCTGAGTTGAGGGGAAAGAGGAAAGAGTTGTCTGTGACAGGAATGTCCGAATTTATCTGTCCAGGGTGTAACTTTTGACCCGTGGTCTTTCTTGACATTTGTGTAGCAATGTGACAGAAAATGAGTCGTATGTCACATTTTGACAATATAACTCTATGGTATCGAATTAGTATGTTGGTTCAGACAAGACAAAACAAAATGTTCTTTTAAAAGAGATTTAAACAAAGCCATTATATTGTATTTACCCGTATTAGGATTTTAAATAAAAACTGCCCTAATTGCAAAAATATATAACCGGTAGAAAACATGTCAGTGATCCAGTCTGGGAGAACACAAGTGAATGTAATGTTTCCACACAGCAGTAAAGAGGTTAAAGATCTGTTCAAGCCTCATGCGTGGGTGAAAACGGTATTAATATATAGCTACTTTGGTTCAAGAGCTGCTGTCACTTCATTGCCTCCGAACTAATTTGTCCAAAGCGTACGTAAGTAAAGAGGCACTTTGGTTTTCTGGTATCTTGAAACGGTTCAGTGTGACATGTGACTCTTATTAAGTAGGGTTGACTATACATTTGTTGAGTCTCCTGCAGAGATTTCATGGAATGCTACACTTGTTCTATAATGTCAGATACTGTTGAGGGCCACCACACTGCGATGGGTGCTGTATAAAAGATTAACGTTGTTATTTATTATTACTGTTATTTGAGCTGGTGAATTTGATCGTCATGGTCATCGCACTATGGCCTGTGGGGTTTTTTTTTAGAAAACTTTTTTAAAGTAAAAAATGCGGTTCCTTAAGCCAACTTTATGCTTTTAAGCAAGCATTAAAATGTTTCAGTAATTTGATTTTTTTTGTGCACAAACCAAAACCCGGTTGCACTGAGGATATGAAACAAGTGGCAATCGTTATAGCAGGTGAATACCAAGAAACCAGAAACCCCCATTCCCCAACAAAATGACTGAGGCAATGTGTTATGACCGTGATGAAATGTTGTTAGTAGTTTGTAATGTTTTTATCATGTACTGAGTCTAGTGTTTTGATTTTAATGGTGTGGTGGTAGGGTTATCCTGAAAGATAGTTGTAGTGAAAGTTAAAATGCTGATGAAACGAACATGCTTTTTTCCTGATTTTTTAAAGAGGTCAGAAGGTGGTTAGAGGGCGCCACTGGTATGTCCTGTGTGTGTCTCGCTTTTCCCCAGCACTAAATGACGTCTGATATTGTGTCAATGTGCTTGCCTTGTACTCAAACGTATCATTGTGTTGGTTCAACTTTTGATGACCATACGTCCTCTAATTTATTGTCTGTATGAATAGTATGATGATGATGATGAGTGTGAAAGAATTTCAGGAGAGTGCAGAAAGCTTTGCTTTGTGAAACAGAAAGTTTTGTTTTGAATAATAGAAAGCTGTGGTTGGTAAAGTTGTTTATACAGGTTAAGACTATTTGAGGGGGGTGAGATGCAAAACCTGCTAAGCGACCTTTTGGAAAAAAATCGATTTTTATTTCCCATAAATGCGCATTTTTACTGGCTATCAGATGCACAAAGTGTTTTCTGCCAAAACCCAACACATCCTTCATAAAAGCCAACACAAAATCTTCTTTTTGCTTAAAACCTGATACATTCAAAATCATCATTTTCCTTAACTGGATACATCCTTAGATTTTCTTTATCAGCCAATGAAATTTCCCGATCCTGTCACGTGACTTCCTCTTCAAAAGGGCGTCGACGAGTGTATACAGTAGTTTTGTTCAGCCCGAAACAACTACTTATTTGACGGAAATAGCTCACTTTCTTTCACCCTCTGCCAGCAGACAAAAAAAACAACGTCCTATGACTTACTATGAGGGCTAAGTGTTGTAGAGAGGATTACAGTGGCTGTAATTAGAGTAAAAGAGTGATTTAAGGCATCAAAGGACTTTTTGGGGGGGGATATAGCTGGTTTTGGCAAATCACTACCACTTTCATAGCTGAAAATCTCTATTTTAATCATACATTTTTTAGTCAAGCTTCCTGTGTTGTTAGACCAGCTCCCTACCACTCACTGTTGTACTTTCTGCAATCGGTTCGTGTTGATAGAAGCATTTAAAAAAGCTGATTTTCTCAAAAGTGCTAACTAAAATGGAAGTAGCAAGTTTTGCATCTCAGCCCCTCATTTGCTTGTAACATTTGGTGTCCTAAGGGTATTGGTAGACCTACTAATGGGTTTTTTGTTTGTTTTTTTAATCTCTTGAGTAGCTTTACTTTAAATTAATGATAACTATAACGAAGAACGTTATTAACCCATTGTCACATATAAAGGTGTATATGTATAAACAAAAAACCGAGGTCTTTGTGTTTGTTATTGTCTTGAGCACTGGTGTAGTACCTCAACATGTTTTCATACTGTCCCTGAAGGCAGGGCTGGGTGATATGGGCCTCTGCCTCGAAGGTTCAACTGTTTCTTTTTTATTTTCCCTGGGCAATGTCTTGTCTGTCTTTTGGCCTGTCTTGATCTTCCTTAGCACTAAAAGACCATTTATGTGTTGGATGTGCTTCTTTTTGCTCAGAGTCATGACATGAAGCAAAATGAAACTTATCGTGATGGTGGAGGTTGGACTTTTGAACGCTAAAGGAGTTTTTACAAAAATGTTCAGCCCCTGAGCCTTTCCAGAAAAAAAGATGGGGTGTTTTACACAATTTGCTCAAAAACCTTGGATCGCATTAGCATACAGAAGTAGTCCAGGTAAAAGGCGCACATAGTCATGGTAACAGCTTGTCTGCTCACAAGGAAAAAAGTCTGGATAAGAATCACTATTACAAGGTGCTGAAGGATCAGGCAGGATTGACATACATCTGTCACTGCTGTATTTGTGTCACAGAGGACTAGCCTACTCTGCCGTCTTGTGATAGAAAACCATGTATTTCAAAAATGAAATTTTACAAGAGAGGCAAAATACTAACTTTTGTGTTTATTTCAACTTGGCTTAAAAAAATTTCGGTCTGATTTATTTTACATCGATATTCATTGGTCGGTGTAACTTTTCCCTGATTTGCAATATACAATAGGTATACAATAGATAGTTATGGAGTAATCGATTGAAATTTCTTTTGTCATAACAATATCAGTATATGTAAATAGGTCACAATGCATGTTTTCAAAAGCCCAAAACTTTCTTTATTTTAATTATACAGCCTTAAAACCAAGATAGAAAGATGTGCCATGGAAAGGATTTTTACCTCTTATAAAAATACTGCTTGGCCAAATTACTCATATACGTTCTTTTTGTCTTAAGACGGTAGTACTGTAGTTCATCCTTTTAAGACATATTGTGACAACTGTCTTTTTCTTCTGCTGAACTGCAAATTTAGTTGGTTTTTGTTTGGGGAAGGGGGGTGGTTGGAGGGCTCCACTGTTGGTTTGTGGTTTTTCTATTTTTTCTGTCTTTCTTCCTCGGTTTTTTCAAGCACTAAATAAATGACCTTTACTGAGTCGTTGATGTGCTTCTCTTTACTCAGACAAGCAATTGCAGTATAACACGGATAGGTTGAACACAGAAGACTCGAAATCACACATCCGTGTCCAGTTTTTTTTTTCTTCTTTATATTTGTTTCCTTGAAAGATATCCCTCGAACTACCAAGACCGGTCCCGATGATTTTGAGCTATCCGTGTTATACTGTATGTCTGTTGTGCTATGATGACTTTATGAAGCTTGTTTGAGGTTGGAGTGTGTAGTTTGGGTATTACATTTATAAACTACTACTGCAAGTTTTTTTCATGACAACAGTAGCTGATTGTTGATGGTGGGTTATGATGATGTCTGATGATATCCGCTATAGGGTGATGGTGCTTATTTTTTTCATTCTTCTCATCATATAAGCTTTGTGATCTGTCTTGGGGAACACAAATTGTAGTGTTACTTTTAAATGTTTTAGTGCAGCAGACGTGGTGTCGCAGTGACCCAAGTTCAATTCTTGGGAGAAGTTTTTCTTATTTTATAATGGAGTACTTCTGTCTGTCTGTTGGGATGTTGTATCCCTTTAACTTACTTTAAGTCAAAGCCCGGGTTGGCCCTGACATGTAAAATCTGAAGCAGCCTGCCTCTCCCATATGATTTAAATTTTGCGAATGAGGATACGAGTATGAGGTTGTTTTTCATTTACAGCTATAATTTCTGTTGATTGAATGGGGGGTGGGGGGCTGGATGTTTCTTTCAGGTCCTTGTTCTACAAGTTTAGTGGTCTCTATTTTGGTGAGCACATTTTTTGGTGTTACACTCTGATGTTTGAAGTTTTCTTGTACAGTAAGTTAATTTGTGTCAATGAGATCATAAAAACACTTTCAATTACAATGACAGTGAAGTCTATCTATGTGTCATGATGTCATTTTTATGTCACCGCGTGTCCGTCAGTGTGTGCTGTTGATATGGACGAAAGGAGTCATGATGATGCCCTTTCTCTTCTTCTGTCACACACTCTCTCACTTTCTCTCTCTCTCTTTCTCCTCTCTCTCTGTCTTTCTCTCTTTTGCATCACATTTTATTGTCTGTATGCCATGGCCATTGTGATCAGTAAAAAAGAAAAAAACTCAAAACTCAGACTGTGTTTTTTTTAATGTACTGGGTACACTATTGTAGAAAAGAGAGTCGAACCTGCTTTTACGGGTGGTTGGCGGGTGCTGTGGTGAGGGTTGCTGCTTTTCTCTTTTCAAACATCTATCATCCTTTTTTTCCCTCCTTTTTTGTGTTTGTTACTCTCTTGTAACACTAACATCTCTAATCTTCAGCACTTATATAACTTATTATTGTGTTGCAAGTGCTGTGAAACACTTACTAAAACTAAAACTAAACTCTAACGACCACCTGTCCAAAACAATCACCTGTACAAACGACCACTTCCCATCTTGCTTTTTTTTTTCTATAATGTTATGACAACATCCAAGAGGACCTAGATGACGACTTTAGTCCATGACAGTGGGTGGTTGTCTAGGACAGGTTTGACTGTGCGGGCGGTTGGAGGACACCACTGGTAGGTCCTACTTCTTTACTTTCCCTCTCTTGTTTCTGTCTGTCTGTCTTACTTTTTCTTTTCTCTAAATGGCCACTGTTGTGTCAATGTGCTTCTCTTTACTTAAACAAGCAAAGGTTTGACTGCACTGTATTCCAGAATTTAAGTTTTTCAACATTCTTCTAAATTCTTGAAATGATGTGCTGGTGGTTGGATAGGAGGGTGCCATCCAGTGGTAGGTTCCACTTCTTTTTTTCCCCATTTTTTGGCGGGTCTTAATATTTTTTTCTCCCATCACTATGTGACCATTTTGGTGTCAATGTGCCGATATCTACTCAATCAAAACAAACAACAGAAATGATGAATGGTGTTCCAAAGGCAACAGAAATGTGATTTTTTGAAGGACTGTTGAGAATATTCTTGAAATGAAAGAAAAAAAAAATAATGTGGGGCCTAAAGGGTTGGTGTTCTCCATTTATGTCAGCTTTGTTTTGGAGAGCTGTTTGAAGTCAGTTATGTGCTGGCCTTTGGTACAAATCACCCTGGTTCAACACCCCATCGGTATATGTGGGGTAGCGGTAGGTGCTTTGCTGTCACGTGCAGGAAGCAGGAGACCCGAGTTCGATTCCTGAATGTGGAGAAAACTTTATATTGTTTCTCAGTCTTTCCGATGGGATTATGTTTCCTCTATTCCTCAGAGCCCGGCTTGGTTCTGACAGACCGGGTTGGAAGCCTGTTTGTAAATGATCTAAATTGTGTTGATGGGGGCGGACAAAGACACCTACATTTAGTGGGTGGTTGGTGGATGCTTTGGTGTGGTTTGCTCCTTCTTTCCTATCAAACAACTATTGTCTTTATCTCTCCTCCTTTTTTATGTTTGTTACTCTCTTGTAACACCTCTAATCTTGGGCACTTAAATGACCTTAATGTGTTGCAAGTGCCGTAAAACCCTTACTAAAACTAAACACCAACATTTTTAAAGAAAATTTTCTTTTCAACACCCTGAAGGAGCATTTTTTAACTTGGGTTATTTAGGGAGTTTTCCTCCCATCTAATTCAGTATTATCAGAGATGATAAATACACGTACAGGCCGACCGGACAGGCTTCTGGGCCGTACAGCCGATCGTAACGTGTAATAAGAAATGCGGCTCAAACCGTAGGTGAACATCCGACGAATGGCCGGCTGGACGGATGAAAAAAAACCCACTGCCGCTGCGAGTGAATTTGACGTCTGGCCATCCGGCCTTTGAAGTTTGCAACTGAACTAATTTCAAAATTATAGAAAATCACGTCGTAAATAAAAAATAATACCAGATTCAGCGTATCAAAATTAGGTTAATGGCTCGCGAGTGACTCGTTCCATTTTGCATTTAAGGATTTTCCATTCCAGCACATTTTTATGTCTCCCCTCGGGGCAGTCCCACTGACTAGTGTCTTTAGGCCATTCCCAAAGGGCGGACATTTCTCGTTCAAGCAAAGTGGAATTGAAAATGGGCCGATTCATGTCACGCTCATAACTGCGCTTGATCTAAAACGAGGAACTGCTGCCTTTTCTTTCCTGATCCTTACTATTGTCATTTTCCTCTACTTCTTTTGTATGTTTGTCACTCTCTTGTGACCTGCTATTTCCGGGGTGCCTTGATAGTCAAAGCAGACCTTGTGCTGTTGAAGCTAGATAGGTGAGCAGTCTAAGTCTGATTCCCTGTAAAGACTTCTCTGTTGACACCCACCCCTTGGCGCTCATATGACCTTATGCAGTTGCGAGCACCGTAAAACCCTCTACTATAAACATTTCTATGTTTTGAGCGCCATGATGCACATACCTGTGTGACGTTTCACCCAGACTATAGGCCTAGTGTGCAGAATATGTTGCTCGTGAGGTGCAGCCGCCTTCAGGTCGATCATGGGTGTAATAATAATAACCCAAGTTTCCTCGATTTCATCTGGCCGTACGGCTTGTCTAGGGTTAAAAACCTGTCCGGTTGGCCTGTACGTGTAATAGGCCCTAAACACTTTGCAGTCACACAGCCAGCAGTACAAAATACCCCATCTGGTCACCCAGCCAGGAGAACAACTGAAACGGAATTCTCAGGCCTGGCGCAGCAGAACGGATAGTTTTCACCGACGCATTATTGCACCAAGCGACCGTAAAGTGTTAAGTCCGAGACGGTACAGACGGGGATGAGCTTTATATAAACAAATGAACCTTTTAAGAAGGAAGCGTTGACTCACCAAAATTAGCTAACGAGCCGAGCCCTTCACAGATGTCTGCTACAACATCATGAACCCAAAAGGTCAAAATCTTGGGTACAAAATTTGGTCAAAATCTTGGGTACAAAATTTGGTCAAAATCTTGGGTACAAAATTTGGTCAAAATCTTGGGTACAAAATTTGGTCAAAATCTTGGGTACAAAATTTGGTCAAAATCTTGGGTACAAAATTTGGTCAAAATCTTGGGTACAAAATTTGGTCAAAATCTTGGGTACAAAATTTGGTCAAAATCTTGGGTACAAAATTTGGTCAAAATCTTGGGTACAAAATTTGGTCAAAATCTTGGGTAAAAGATTTAATTTGAAAAGACATCACTATAAGTTACAAGCAGAGTTTGCATTTCAGAATTATTTTATTGTAAAAAATATCTCACTTCATAATTCAAAACATGCTCTAAACAAAAAGAGCCACAAAGATCTTACAAATGCTTTTATTCAAAGCAACCAACATATTCATTTAAATGTCTCCTTCACTCAGTCTTAGAGGCATGCATCAGGAGATAAATGACATTATCCTCAAAATCAAAATAAAATGCATCATCCTGAGCACACATTTCACATCACTTTTGGGTATGATATAGGCCTACAGTCTAGCATGCACATAGCGAAATTTGTTGTACTCGGAAATGTTTTTGTAATGTACGTATTTTTAAATAAATGTAAAGAATATAAATAATGTGAGAACAATTTTTGCGACCTGACAGAAAATTTTTCACTGTAAGCATGCTAGACTGTAGTATGTACAGTTCTCTTCATCTATCTTGACTGGAGCTATGGGTTTCTGGGTGTCACTCACATCTCATAATAAGAGGCTTGAGGTGTGTCAGCTCTTTTTCAGAAACAATTGCACTTTCGTATGATGGAAAAGAACTTTTGCAACATGCATTCAGTCTACTTAACCGTATCCGTATGCCCTGGGGTCATTTTGTACTATGAGGGTTGTATTCTCAACATTTAAGAATACTTCTAATACGAAAATCTCTTTGAAACTTTCAGTATTTCTTTAAAAAATCACGTTGACAGACTGCTATGCAAAACATATGGATCAGATTAACGAGTAAATTTTGCTCTTTGGAAAGTGGTGGCACAGAGTTCCCCACGTCGTATGGATACGATAGTAAAACATGACGTACGGATAGGGTTAAAGTTTGTCATTAGAAATTCACTAATATGTACGCTCTGACACATTTAGAGGGCATCCATGGCTCAGATGGTATCGTGTAATCATGCATCAAAACAATGCCTCCTATAGTATAGCCTTCGTTCAAATACCTCAATAATCGATATATTACATTTTGCTAGGTCAGGGGGACTTTCGTGGTTGGCCACCCACAAGGCTCAATCTTATCGGAGATGCATTTTAAATCCATCTTGTACTGGAAAAGGACAGAGGCCTGCACCATACAAAATCTAAAACAGTTCTTTAAACATTGATTTTTGTAACCAAAAAAGTAGTAGATACTGTAGCAAATGACATGATGCCATCCACATTTTTAAGGAACAACTCTTTTAATTTCCATCTTACATAACAATTGGCAAAAAAAAATATCAGACACTTACTGTATATTAGTAAAAAAAAATAAAAAAATTCAATTATTAAAAAGTTGCGACTAGTGGTACAAGAGGAAAAATGCCAAATGAAACATTCACTAAACATGTTGAACAAAGACATTCAGTCAGTAAAAACATCTGAATAACTCGCAAGTAATTTCAAAGAAGAGAATGCCCTCGCCATTGCCCCCCCTGTCCAAAAAAGGAACTTCAAAATTTTTTTTCACTCGTCCTGTACAAAAGGGTCTCTGAAAAAGACAGATGCTCTTCATGCATGTTTTCCCAGACACTCAAAAGCACTTATAACTGATATGTACACACTTACACTTACACATGCATGCACGCATACATACATCCAGGTAAACCCTTCTACACAAACACACATACTTCAAAACATTCATACCGCAAGCAACGGTTCTTTCTCAGATCAGGACACTCTTTTTCTTATTTCAAACTTGAAAAAGAACAAAAACCCTCATCAGTAAAACAGAACAGGTAAGGTATTAAAATGAATAACTCCCAACAATCTTTGCTCTTGCTGCTCTGACTTGTGAAGTTGACACAGATACTGTAGAAGGAACTTTTCAGAAATTCCGAGAGTGATACAATTATTTATAGTCTAGTCTTTGGCATAATACAGTTGATTCACATACAGCTACTGAAGGAAGAACTGCTTTAAAATTCTGTACATATTTCCTCTGTACCATAGATATACTAAATTCTGGAAATTATGTGAGTGTTACTTTTTGTGATAATAGCGTTTGTAATTGACACTGATCCTACAAAAGGAATAACGCGGAAATTCTGCGAGTGTTACTTCTCTTCTAGTATGTATTTGAAAAAATTTGGAATCCTAAATTCCATTACCTTTAGGTGCATGTTTTGCTATGTCACAAGAGCCTGTTCACAATGCGTGCTAGACTACTTGACAATTCTGTATGGGTCCTGCTTCTTTTCTTTCCTTCTATTGTCTCAGGCCATCTGTCTTGCTCCTTCTCTTCAATATAAGACCGCTATTGCGTCAACATGCTTCTCCTTACTTGAGCTAAAAAAAAACTCTACTATCACCACAATTCAACATTCTGCTTTCACTCCTGCAACTATCATCACAGTGGCACATTTTCCAGTCCTCGAAGATCTTGTCCACAACAGTTTCAGCTTGACCCTGGCTTGGCTTTGTCGAAGTAATCCTTGGCCTCATTAATCTTGGCTGCAAGGTAAGGGGAGCCACCTGAAACAGTAAAAAAAAACGACAGTGAGTTCAACAGTAGTTGAGGATAGAAAAAACCAAGTCAGACTTAGAAATCAATATCATCATTACAGTTCCCCTAACTGTGTATGGAACAAAATTTTAAAACTCTGGTCTTAAGGCTTAAGGTATTTGACTGAAGCAGAACCTCAAAAAATCAACTCCTACATTTTACTTTGCATCGATAATTTACCACATCTTGAATAATAATTGTAAAAATCAAGAGGCTAAAACATGTAATAAGACTAATAACAAATTTTTTTCCACATTTTCTCTAAAGTATCTGAATGCTCCATACGCAGATAATGCACTGAAGATACTTATGTAAATGAAATTGTAAAAATGTTTACGTCTTCATTGACACAATTTAAATCATTTTAGAATCAGCAAAGCAGACAACTCCCACTCTGAAACGGTTAAAGTTGGCTGAAAGAGATACAACTACCCATCTCTTTGTTTCTTTGAGAAAAAAGAAACACACTGACTCCACAAAATATCACTAGGTCATTTAGTTATAGGGCAATAAACGTATAACAGACAGACAGAAACAACAGAGGGACAGAAAAGAAGAAGGATCTGGGAGTGGCACCCTCCAACAACCAAAATTACACACACACACCATACACATATCTTTAAAACAAATCGTCAGAAAGTGCATAGATAGAAAGCTCTCTCAGCACTGCACAACACTATTACATGTATTCCTGATGGACACTAAATCACTTACATACCCTCAAAAACTTGGCATATTGACATTGTTTTAGCCAGCTTTCTATTATTACCAGGGTGAGTTGAGGAAAAGTTTGTGTACAGTAGGGCCTACCTTTCCCAGGTATTCAACATCAGATCAAAACCCAAACTAGCAACTTTATGGTAGCTATAAGTATAACTTAGTATAACTTATTCACTTTTGTCTGACCGTCGTTAAAACAAGATAAAATGAAATCGCTTTGTTTAGTCTCCTCAGATCTTTGCATAGGGGGTCTAAAAGTTGGATGAACAATAAAATCTAAAAGCCCATTCACGGCGTCACTTTTCGCCCGATTCTGTTACTTTTAGTTAGCGTGACTCAGCAGCCCGCCGGAGCTCCCCGGCTCAGGGTCACAGGGTTAATGAGCCCTGAAGCGACTTTGCCGGTGTCGGTTAGGAAGTTTTCGCATTTTTGACTATGTTTAAAACGATATAACTTCTATAGCATACCATTACGGGGATTTACTAAAAGCTCAATGTCTTGAGATTTATTCTGCGTTAGAATGGCATGGTTAATTTCTGCGCCTTAGTTTTTGTTCTAGACAAGTGTTTCTGGAGTACCCAATTTGTCCTATTTTAGTAACAAACTTATGAATAAATGATAGTTAATTTTAAAAAGGCACGACAGATCTCTCCAAAAATCTGTGTTAAACTGACTACGAATATCATGTCTTTTACCATGAGAAATCTTAAATCTGCGCGAGTAGAAATAGTCAAGTTATAAGAGAAGGAAGATGCACATTTGCATTTTTTAACTAAAGACGATCAGCGTTAGCTCTTATTTTACTATTAAACAAGAGAAAGTTACTCTGCGTTTGTTCATGAATCATGCTGTGTCTGTGGCAGCCTGCATACAACTAAAAAGATATAATATAGAATCTAAGCGAATAAAAAAACACAAAACCGTGTAAATACATGGGTAGAGATAAACTTCTTGTACGGAATAAAAATAATGACAGCTAAAACATTCATTTTTAGTTTTTGAGTCGGAAATATGCGCGGACACAATTATGAATGTAAAGAAATCAGTCACATTGTCAGTTATTGCAAATGGTCATAGAAACGAAAAATAAAGCTGGAAAAGTCTGGTGCTGATTCAGTGTCCCTGGAAAGCTAGAAATTATTCTTGTAACCCAATTACGAGAAGTCATCCCTATTATTCAGTCAACTTACAAAACCTAGACTTAGTGTTTTAAGAAAAGTAAGGAATTTCTGGAGTGTAACAGATGCAGTTCGTGTATTAGATCTACATTGAAGATATATTCTAGAACTAAAATCAATTTGTACTTTTCATAGAGAAACTTCATGGTGACTTTTATAAACTTTCGAGAAAATATTCGAATATTCACGATTATATTAGACACATAAAGTTGTATTTGGAGGAATTACTTCATAGCGAATTGTGTGCCCGATGGATAAAGTTGCAAAATTACAGCTTTCTATTATATGCGCAGATACCATCTTTTCTGAGTATCTGCACCAATGCTATGTCGTTCATGTTCCAAAAGTTCGAGAGATTTTGACGAGGCCTTTTTTAATATTGATTTTTTTTCATTCACACTAGTCCAAAAAAACTACAATTTAGCATTGCCGACTCCAGCGTGTCTAACGAAATAACCAGACAAGTTACAATGTCCGTTCTTTTTTGGGTCTCAAGAGCAAAAATGCGTGCTTTGGGTGCACTAAATGAGAATTACCATAAATACAAGGATACACCTAAAATAGTACGTTGAAAAGTACCAAAAACTAAGTCGGCCCACACAGAGCGGCGACAGGGAGCTGACTCCCGTGACCCCGACCTGATAGGGCACTCGGCGGGGAACCCCCCGCGGCAACTAAAATTCCACTGCCGGTGCGCCGTGCATTTTTTATTACAGGACGAAGATTTTTAAAAAATAAATTTGTTTGGTCACTGGCCTATAAAAGTACCATGCAAAGTTTCTTATGCATAGGTAAATTAATCAATGAGCTAGAATTTTTTTTCACGGTAAGACAAAAGCGAACAGGCTATAGTCAGACAATCTAAACACTAAACAGACATAGCATCTTCCGATAATAATACTGACCCACCACACATTTCATAAATAATGCAGACCTGCAATTCATCCCGGTTTAATCAGGACATCCCGATTTTTTACCCCAAATCTCAAGCATCCCGATTTTCCCGATTTCAATCAGGTGCATCCCGATTTTCCAGATTTCAATCAGGTGCATCCCGATTTTTTTGTTCCGCCTGTTGCGCCTGATTAAAAAGGGACAACTTACTCTGCCTTCTTCTCTGTCGCAGGAAGCACCTCTAAAAACTTTTTGTCAGCGCCTCAAGATGTGTTGGAACTTTCCTTGCACGTGTTATTTCAACTATAATGGAAGTAGTATCGAATTGGCGTTCCGACCTGGGACTTGGGACATTCTCAAGTTTTACTTTACTTTTTGTTTCCATTCAGAATTCTCCGATGATGGCCTGATGACTGTTTCAATTGCGACATACAAATTATGATTATTCGTAGTTACTTTCTGCATACAAATTATGATTATTCGTAGTTACTTTCTGCTGTTACTTTCAAAACAAGCTTTGTCAAAGTTCTTTTAGTAGGGCCTGTCCGTTGACAGGGTCAACTTAAATTCATGCCCACTGTTTGAAGCATCTTTTGGGACTTATTTAGGGGGGGGGGGGCGGGGGGGTTGACACTTAGACTAGGAGTGCTTGGTGTGATACTTCCGGATTAAAAAAAAAAAAATAACACACACACACACACACACAGGGCCCAAACATGGATATAATGGACACCTCAGGAAAATTTTTAGTCAGCTTGATAGGCACCTTGGTGATTTGTCGCTGGTCCCGATTTTTTTTACCAAATCTCGATTTTATTCCCCATGTGATCCTGATTTTTAGACTTTCATGGAGTGGCAGGTCTGCTAATGCTAGTGAAAGTCAATTAAGTGTTGTAGGTGTGGTCTGAGGCTCACACACTGACAGAAGTGAAAGGCTCTTTTCAAACAAAAGAGATAGTTTTTGTGCGACTTATGCAGTGAAACTCGGATATAATTATTATGAAGTCGTCAGGCCCGACCTTCAATTACGTTGAATCCGAGAGTTCCCTGCTGCAAACATGAGGTTTTTGTGTAGATAATTACAGGTACCAAGCAAGTAATGTATTTAACATATTCGACTTCCTCAATCAAATGAAGTCTGATTTCAAACGAGAGGCATTTTTGTTTGATTCAAAACCGAAATAATGCTGGTAAGTTATAGGAAAATGCACTGAACTCTACCATGCATGCACTCTGCAGAAGGTCCGATTTTTTCAAATGCACGTCTGTGTCACCTATCATCTATGACGTATCGTTTGCCAAACAAGTTGTGTTACTGTGTATGGCTTCGCATACGGCAACGTTTGATTCCACAGACCAGTGCGCAATTCATTACATAGATCTATGTCAAGACTACCTTACCATTGTAATATTGATCAGAAGCAGGGGAAAAAAAGACTGACTCATTTGTATCTCTACTGACGCTCCACACCCCCCTACACTTTTTTAAACCCCCCCCCCCCCCCCCCCCCCCCCCCCCGCCATACGCACACAAAAGTGAGCTAGCCGTCGTCCATTCAACCATAACAATAACACACGTTAAGACATATTGCGGTGCCAACAATGAAAGAAGGCCTCTGATTGGTTAAATAAGTCATAATTTAAACAATAGGTTAGCATTAAAGTATCACAAAATGTTGAGATCCATTAATGCTTAACCTAATGTTCACTTCTTAGTTCCTTAAAACTGAGTTGTTCTTATTGATTTTAATTAATTTTAAAAAACGGGGAATCCATCTCCTTTCGTTGAATCCGAGTTTTTTAATGAATTTGAGTTTTCTTTAATCCAAGTTCCATCGTAATTTACAGTGCTTTTGAGCAAAAGAATTATCCCTTTGAGTTTGTTTGAATAAAAAGAAGTACACTGACACAACAACAGTCATACAAAGCAGGAAAATAAGTAAGACAGAAGTGACAGAAGGAAAGGAAAAAAAAAAGGAAAGATCTTTCCTACAGTGCACAAAACAGCTGGGATCATTGAGTGCCCTCACCTCTGTCTGGATGGTTCAACAGCATAACTCTCTTATGAGCTTCTTTGATCTTGGTACGACTGGCTGACGGGCTGAAACAAGAAAGAAAACCACAACAATTTATTGTACAGTGGAGTCCACTTAAGCAGCAACCCAGATAAAAACAACCTCCAACTAATCAATAAAAAACCAAATCTTGTGTAACGGAATTTTCCTACATAAATCAACCCCCTTTAACAGCAAACTTTTAGCATAACAATAACAGCAACCTTTTGTTGCAATAAATTGTGACCAAAAAAAAAGAAAAAAAAAGAAAGAAAAGCATTTTAAAAAATAATTTGATGATTCAAAAACTGTGAAAATCGAGATTGGCCCATAATAATTTCAGCGCCTTGTTTATCTCCTCTCAACACATGTTTGAGCGAAAAATACTATGCTGAGTGTGGGAACTCAGTTCTCATCATGTTGTGAAGAGCCACCTTCCTTCAAAATCTCTCTCCCAGAGGAGGAAAAGTCTTGGATATAATTGTATCTTACAGAGCCACCTTCCTTCAAAGTCTCTCTCCCAGAGGAGGAAAAGTCTTGGATATAATTGTATCTTACATTACCACCCAGTAGTTGAGTATCCGCTCACTTGTGCTGCCTGCGTTGAACTCTCTTTCCCATAAACATCATCACATCACACAACTAGCAGCTTGTGTGAGTGTGTGCGATGGGTCAGTATACATCACCCCCCCCCTCCCTATTTGACATAAAAATTTTGTTAGCAGCAACTTCCGCGAGTATGAGTACCGGTACCTAAATCCAAATGAAAAGTGTTGCAGGCCTTTCATTTTGAATGAACCGTTGCCCTGTACTATTGTTGCCATTGACAACAAATTGACTGACTTATTTCGATCACCAATTTAGACTTTAAAAAGAAAACCCCACTAAATTCTCTTAAACTCACATGGGCCTAATCCTGTGTATTTATTTACGGGATGCCCCACTAGTCCGGTGGCCTAATCCTGTATTACGGGCTGCACTTTATCGATCGATATTTCCGGTGTTTTTCAGTTACAAGCTATGGGAAACGGCGAGCCAACTGTTGACCCACTTGTTTCATTTCGTTAAAAATTTGGTAAAGTTATTAGGTATACTTTTTTAGCTGTAACTAACTCAGTCACCCCTGCATTGCGACAGGATTTTATTATGAACTGGGCGCAAAAAAAATTGTGTAACCCCCAGACATTGCCATTTCAAAATATTGATAAAATAAGAATTGGACAAATTAGATGCAGTTTTCTTTTTCTTTGAAAACATTTCTTTCTTACTGTTGCCACGTTTTTAAAAATTATGATAGCTTTCAGTCTTTTTGTGGTTAACGCTTCAATATACCCCAAGAGTGTCAGGCTGCAATAGTTTTGGGTGAAAAATAGCTCAGGGTCAAGAATGCAAATATGTTCGGATATCACAAAATATTGCTGAAAATTGCAGAAGGCACTCATAACTAAAACCCTCCGAAAAACAATGAACAAATTTTTCTTCTGCAAAAAGCAATAGATGGGCATGTAAATTGTATGCACGATACGTGTCATTATGCAGACCCGCCACTCTATGAAATCTAAAAATCAGGATCTCAAGGAGGGGGGGGGGGGATCGGGAACAACCACAAATCACCAAGGTGACTGTCAAGTTTACTGAAAAATGTTGTGTGGTGTTCATAAATATTCATGTATATGCCCTATGTGTATGTGTGAGTGTGTGTGTTTATTATTTTTTTTTTTTTAATCCTGAATCATTACATCAAACACTCCTAGTCCAAGTGTCTAACCGGCGGATTTTGATGACTGGCCAGACTAATCAGAGCTCGGACAAAGCTTGTTTTGAAAGTAACAGCAGAACTACAAATAATCATTTAATGTCACAATGTGAAAATTTAACAGTTATCAGACCATCATCTGAGAATTCTGAGTGGAAACAAAAACTAAAGTAGATCTTAAGAATGCCCCAAGTTGGAACGCCAGATCGATATTACTTCCATTATAGCTGAAATAACATGTGCAAGCAAAGATCCAACACAACTTGAGGTGAGTCAACTGCTAAATTCGGCATCAATATTTCAGGAAATCGTGCTCGGCGCTCCTGTCGACATAAAGTTTTTTAACAGGTGCTTCCCGTGACAGAGAAGAAAGCAGAGTAAGTTTTCAGAAAAATCCGGCGCAACAGGCAGAAACAAAAAATCGGGACACATGTGATCGAAATCGGGAAAATCGGGATGCTTGAGATATGAGGCAAAAGATCAGGATATCCCGATTAAATCAGGAAGAGTGGCAGATCAGCATTATGCATGTCATTGCTCTAGGCGTAATAATTTAAAGACTTCCCCACTCAGGAATTGAACTCATCTCTTCTGTATGTAAAGGAAAAAGGCAACACTATAGGTGCTGACTACAAGGGTCCAGTAAAAAAAAAAGTCCCAACTACCCAATACTAATAAATGAATAAGATTACGCTCTCTTTTCGAACAAGCATAACATTCTACCACACCGTAAAAAAGATATCAATAGAGCTAGGCGCAAACCGGCCGAGCTCTTGATTTCTCAATTTCTTTTCTCAGCCCCTTGTTTACCTTTACGATACTTGACCCTGACCAGCTTTCAGTACCCAATGGGAGTAAAAACATACTATTGCTACTCACCTTACGCCCAACACAAGCCCGGCTTCCCTCTTGGACATCTTAGATTCGAAACCTCCTCTGTAATACTTGCTGAAAGCCTAGAAAGAATGAAAACAAAATTCAATTTATTTTTCATTCCTTAGAAGATTCAGCTATTGAAAAACGGGACAAGCAAAACAAAATGCAAAGACAAAGGGAGTGCCGCTTAGAACAAAGGAGTGAGAATTGTCATGAAAAGAAAGTTAAGCAGTTATACGTATCTAGCCAAATCAAGACAATGTACAAAACGATGAAAAAGACCAAAGATAAAGTATCGACAAAAGAGGTAGTAAGAAGAAAAATGGCGGGAACTTAAGAATATCATTGAAAAAAATAAAAAGTTACTTGTTAACATTTGTTGTGTCGATGCATTGAACAAAACCTTAAACGGTCATTTTTTTGTTGCTAGAAACCAACAAAGTGTGGAAAACAAGAGGGACTGTCAATAAGAGTCACATCCAGACCTCTAACAATAAACCATCTCTGGTTCAGAACTGCAGTAATATTCTCAATCATCTGAAACTGTAAATCACAGAAGAGGACCTGAACAATCAACACAATAACCTTTTCCTCCAACAAAAATATGTTTTCGGCATCTGTGTTTTAGAAAAGCACGACCTCAGATGATTCTTTTTCGTGTTGAAATACAAAGTGGTGTAATGGTCTGGCTTTTCATGATCCCTTGCAAAAAACTTAAGAAGTTTGATTCCAGAATTGAGAAGTAAGTTTTTAACTGAGTATATCACTTTCCCTGCTGAGATACCATATCCCTCTCAGCCTAAGTTGGCCCTGACAGACAGGGTCGAAGCAGCCACCTCTAAAATGATCTAAACTATGTCCCCGGTGGTGTAAATTACAATTACAAAAGTGATTTCCTTACCCCTTCAGGCAACTGTCCCAATGTCTGATTCAAAGTCTGTGAGGCCATTTTGCCAGCTCGTAATGCATAGCGACCTGTAAAGAGAGAGAGAAAATTGTTTCACTTTTCTTTGTCCATTTATCCGAAAGCCACAGGCAATAGGCAATAGGCAATAGGCAACATAATTACTTACTTCATGCTGGTGCAGTAGATTATCTATTTGAAATGAATGTTGGAGAATAAACGGGACGTATGCACCGTTTGTATCAATCATTGTGTAAGCCGTTGAAATGACAATCACATAAGATACAAAATGTCTTTGGGTTTTGTAATCAACCATATCAAATTTTTTTTAAACAAAAATGATGACATTATGATTCCTATCTGCAATTTTCAGGGTACATTTAATTAAAAACAATTTACCTCCAAAGCCAAGAACTGCAATTCCAAGGCCGGCTAGAATGAGTCCAGTCGCCTATTCAGACAGAAAGGAAATTCATTGTAACATAATGCCTCAAATTGTCTACTACAGTAGATTGAAAATGGGTCCAAATATTAAGGGCAGTTACCTTAGCTGCTTTCAGGAGGTCGGAGGTGTATTCACCCAGTACACTATTGCTCCACAATTTATAAATCCAAAGAGTAAAGTATAGATAGACCCCCCTACCCCCCCCCCCCCCCCCCAAATTTCAAACTGCTTGACCTAAAGCACTGAAAATCAATGGAGAGGATACAGTCTGGTTGCAATAATGCAGACCTACCACTCTATACAATCTAAAAATCAGGATCTCAGAGGGAAAAAAATCGAGATTTGGTGAAAAAAATCGGGATCAACGACAAATCACCAAGGTGACTGCCAAGTTGACTTAAATTCTAGTCATTAAAGTTTATACTAAAGGCCGCCTCTATTCTCACCACGGGTGAGACTAGCGCAGGCGAGTCTTTTTGCTATTCTAACCCGGTGAGCATTTTCACCGTAATATGCCAACCAGTAGCATTCACCGTGAAAGACAGAATTCTACTGTGATAACAGAAGTGTAAAATTCTGTGCCGTGAACAAACGTTCCAGCGCTCTTGTGTTGAAAATGTGAAATTTTGTCTGTGGGCAGTGAGAAAGAGAGGGGGAGAAAGTGAGAGAGAAAGAAAGAAAGAGAGAGAGAGAGAGAGAGAGAGGGGGGGGGAAAGAGGAGTAGAGCGAAACTTTCCGGGAAAAACAAAATGGTGACCTGTGTAGTTTGGCTCAATTCGAAAAGTTAAATAGCCGTAGCATCTTTGTTGACGACCAAATTAATTTACTTTTATGTTTCAACATCATTTTTTATCTTTGTTTTTGTCAATTTGATCGTCCACACTGATAGACAGTATTCAGAAAGAGATAGATTGAGAGAGAGAGAGAGGAGGAGTAGATCTTGTGAGAACTTTCGGGCAAAACAAAAAGGCGACCCCCGTAGTACGGCTGTAGCATCTTTGTAGACCATCACATTAGCTTACTTTTATGCTATCGTCACTTTTTTCTTTGCTTTTGTCAATTTGATCATCCACACGGATAGACAAATTTTCCGAAATTAGGAAAAACAGGTACTGTTTCACACCGGGTTAGAATAGCCAATGCTGGCAAGTCTCACCCGGGGTGAGAGGTCGATCGTATTTTTATTGGCTGTCGTTATTCTCACCCAGGGTGAGAATAAAAATATAATTTTATTCTCACGCGGGGTGAGAATAATATCCATTTTATTCTCACCCGGGGTGAGAATAATATTATATTGTTATTCTGGTGAGAATAAAATGAGTATTATTCTCACCCGGTCTGAGAATGCAATGGATTTTTATTCTTAGGCCTACCTGGGTGTTGAGAACAGATGATACAAAATAATTTGTGAATTGTAAGAGGTTCATGACCGATTTTTCTAGGCTCCCGCAGGGATTTTTATTGTTTCATTATTTAAAATCTTGAGAGTATGCATGTTGGGCGCGATCTGTAGATTTGCCCGATCCATCGACCGCGCAGCGCATTTGGTTGATCGAGGAAGCGCGCGACAATCCATCGATTGTTGCGCATTCTGTTGATCAGCGGATCGCACAGCGCTTTTTGTCGATCCATGAAATATTATATACTCACTGCGCATTCTGTGGATAAACTATGATGATGAAGTGAATTTTGAAAAAAAGAAAATTGGTTTGCTGAGCACGTCAGTGAGTGATACTCACCTACCTATAGGCCTAACCCTGATTGCACTCTCATTAGATCTACCCAATAGCAGTGTCTAAGTACACGGAAACCGACAACTCAGGGTCTTTCTACCACCACTACAGCATCATCATTACTTCCATCACCATTTGTCTTTCCACATGTTTAATTTGATTTTGTTGAGTGTTGAGTTTTTCTGTAATTTTTTTAAAAATCACATCGAACAAAATCGACAGCCGTGACTTCTTCCAAACACCTCTTCTCCCAAAAGCCGAGAGTGCGATATCGTTACGCGCAGTCTCATTGGTCGACATAATTAATTAATTTGCCCCCGGCTCAACTTAGTTTTGTTCATACTAATGACGCAGGGGGGACCAGTTTTGATAGATCTAGTAACTGGATATTAAAGCTGACGTCTCAATAGTTATCATAATAATCAAAAAAAATGTTAATAAATGCTGGAAATATTTAGAAACAAGGGCCGGAAGTCGGAACGGACATCATACTGGACTCAAATCAGAGTCCGAATATAATTTTTGTCTATTCGGACTCAAATAGTCACTTTGAATAGTTGTTGTAACCCTGACTTCCAGTTACTTCCATTCAGTTTCGGTTTGACTTTGGAGAGTGAAACTAAATTACACACTGGACGACAATACAACATAACAAAACTCAAGGGTAAAATCTATAGAATGCGCAACCAAACAGATCGACAAAAAGCGCTGCGTGATCCCCTTATCAACAGAATGCGCAACAATCGATGGATTGTCGCACGCTTCCCCGATCAACCAAATGCCCTGCGCGATTGATGGATCGTGCAAATCGACAGATCGCGCCCAACATGCACACATTCTTCAGCAAAACCCAAGACAAGTGTTTTAAATTCAGAAAGGAATTCACCTTGCCAGAGTATGTTTAAAAAAAATAATAGCCTTAACTGAAAGCTGTTTAATGAAATAATGTTAGTAACAGTTTGTCATTGTCCTCACATTGATTGTAATGTTAGAATTGGTTTACAACACAAAAAACATGTTTAATTGTTTATACTAACAGTACCCACAGTTATTTTTAAGGCACGCAGTGCCTTGACCCTAGGCTTATTTAGTTATTTTCTTCTTAATTTTGATTGGTTAACCCTGGAAGCGCGCAGGCCCTATATAAAGGGCGTGAGCCGGGCTACCCGGGAAGCGCGCACGCCCTATATAAGGCTAACCTACTTGACCGGTAAGCACGCAGGCCCTATATAGGATAGGGCATAGACGCTGACCCTTTTCAATGGAAAATTCCACTGTTCCTTATATGGAAAATGACGTAGTCAATTACAGGCCAAAGGTATAAATAGTGATCAATGACTTTGCAAGTAATCTTGACCTCGTAGAGCGTCTCTTGGCTGAGATATGGATCGATAAAGTGACGCGGTCCCGCTGAGCGACAACACGCTATGTGTTATCACTTGTTTCGCCGTGCTGATGTACTAATTGTTGAGTCTATCGCGTTCTCG